GCAGTCTGTTACATTCACTCACACAGATAGTAAACATGTCCCTTCATTCTGGAATATTCCCAAAGGCCCTGAAAACTGCAGTCATCAGGCCCCTGCTAAAAAAGAGCAGTTTCAGTCCGGCTGTAGACCCCACCACAGCACTGAGACTGCTCTCGTTAAGGTTACAAACGATATCCGGCTGAACACTGACGCAGGCGAAGTCTCAATCTTAATCTTGTTAGATCTAAGTGCTGCCTTTGACACCGTCGACCATGAGATCCTCTTACAGAGACTAGAGGACTGGGTTGGCGTCACTGGCACGCTAAGTTGGTTTAGGTCTTACCTTGAAGACAGGAAGTACTTTGTGGAGATTGGAAACTGTGTCTCAGATCATATGGCCCTGACCTGTGGAGTCCCACAGGGGTCGATCCTGGGACCTCTTCTGTTCAATCACTACATGCTGCCGTTAGGTCAGTTAATACGCAGAAACGAAGTTTCCTATCATAACTATGCAGACGACACTCAGATCTATGTCTAACTGACTGCAGGAGAACATGGACCAGTGGACTCACTCCTTCACTGTATCCAACAGATCAGTGAGTGGATGCAAAACAACTTCCTTCAGCTAAACGCAGACAAAACTGAAATGATTGTCTTTGGTCCCCAGAAACAAAGAGAGAGCGTCATCTGTCACCTACAGTCTCTCTCCCTAAAACCTTCAAACAAGGTCAGAAATCTAGGGGTAATACTGGACTCAGACTTAAATTTTAATAGCCACATCAAATCAGTAACATCAGCAGCTTTTTACCATCTAAAAAACATTGCCAGGATCAAAAACATAGTGTCTAAAGCAGACCTGGAGATTCTTATCCATGCATTTGTCTCCAGTAGGTTAGACTACTGCAATGGCCTGCTCACAGGTCTGTCCAAACAGGCTGTAAAACAGCTGCAGTACATTCAAAATGCAGCAGCTCGAGTCCTGACTAGAACCAGGAAGTACGACCACATTAGTCCAGTTCTCAGGTCTCTGCACTGGCTTCCTGTGGCTCAGAGAATAGACTTTAAAACAGCTCTGCTTGTGTACAAGTCTCTCCATAGCCTCGCACCAAAATATATTAGTGACATGTTAGTCCCATATGAACCAGCCCGGACTCTGAGGAGCACAGGGACTGGACTCCTGTTAGTGCCCAGAGTCAGAACTAAACATGGGGAGGCTGCTTTTCAGATTCATGCTGCTAAAATCTGGAACAGTCTTCCTGAAGATGTGAGACAGGCCTCCTCTCTGACAATGTTTAAAACCAGGTTAAAGACAGTTCTGTTTAACTGTGCATACAACTGAGGGATTTTATATTTCTATCTTTCTTTTTAATGTTCTGTGATAATTTATGATTTTAATGCTTTCTTGTTTTGTTCAGCACTTTGAATTGCCTTGTGTATAAATTGTGCTATATAAATAAACTTGCCTTGCCTATACGAAAAAACAAATTTAACGTAATCATCTGTGCTTTTTTTCTACAGCCACAGTGCCAGCAAAGTTGAATGGTTTATTGAGTTAAGCTGAGTCACAACTTGGCAAAACTATAAATGCTTCCAAATGTGTTGACAAACTTTGGGAGGCTGTGTATAAATTATGCCATCGCTTATATTCTCTCCGGAAATAAATGGCTAATGAAAAGTAACCTTTTAGATTGCTTAAAAAATAACGTCTCAATGTATCCATAATGTGAAAGCTGTCGACTACACACACACACGCACACACACACCCACAGGCAGCACTGCATGTTTGGTACTGAGTGTATTTTGGACTAACGCAGATGTATCTTGGCCAACTATGTGTAGGACATGCCTTTTGCAGTGGTCCATATCCAAACTCCAGCCAAAAAACAAGTGCAGTTTTTTTTTTTTTGCCGCAGAAAATTTTAACCCCTTGTGAGCTTCAAGTGCAATCCATCACTTCCAGCATTGACCAGAGAGAAAAATACAGTTACAGGTAATAATGACATGGGGGGATATGAGTCTGCACATGCTCAGATAGTGCGCTGGGTTTGCTGTCAGAAGATTTGAAATGTGTCCGAGGAGGAGGAGGAGGAGGAGGAGAGGGAAAGCAGAAGCACAACAGGTCACTGTGTCTGGTGCGTCTGATTGGACCAGCGATGGTTTCGTTGCTTTGCCTTGAGTCAATAACAAGGCGCACTGGCTCTTTCAACACCACTTACATATTTATATAAAGAATCTGTTTTGGGAAAATTGAACTCAGGTTTTGACAGTGGAATATAAGGATTACTCGCTCTATACTATTACTGTTGTTTGACACTAGGACTCCCAGAATTCTGAAACTGAGACAACTCCCAGAGCAGTCATTTTGATGTCTACCATTCAAAATCAATGGAATTCTGAACAGTCCCTCCAAAAAAGTGCTAAAAGTGTTGGTTGAAAGTCTACTCAATGCGAACAGCTGCAGGTAAACAGTGTGTTGCTATGGTAACTAGCACTGTTCTTCTTTAGTGAAAAAAAATAAAAATAAAAAACATGCAGGGTCAACTCAGAACCAGAACCAGTCCAGGTCCAACCCAGCTTGAACTGCCATAAAATGTTGGTTGCGAAGAGACCGAAAATGGGCACAGTACATTTGAATTTTACGTTAAAATGAATGGAGCCGTCAAATTGACTGCTCTTGGAGTTAAAGGTAGAACTCCAGGAGCTCACATTTCAAAAATAAAAGTCATAGAATATTGACATAGAAGTAAACTACACATAGATACAGACAAATGTCATAATGTTGGGAAGAGACAAAAGTGCAAAAGCTGAAATCTGAGTAATTACTCTTCCAAAACGAAAAGCCGCCAAATTGACTGCTCTGGGAGTTCTAGAGTTAATCACATCATAAAACTAAAAAAAATACAATTGAAAAGAGCAAAAACCAGCACTAATGAATCTACTCCTCACTCAACAATGGATGGATTCCCTGACCTGAACTTAAACCTGCGAATGAATGGTCAAAAAGTATTGCGCTTCACGTCCTAATGGTGTCTTGTAATAATGAAGAATGCTTTGCTGGCTGCACATTTCCTTCTCTGGCTGTGCTTTTGCAAAGTCTGAGCTTTATTGACCCAAGTAAAGTTGTAAAAACACGTTTCACAGATACATGTCACAAAACTAACTTTACAGCTTTACAACAATGATAAAGTATGATTGTATTTTTTTTCAAGTGTATAAAAAGCTGTTCCCGTTGAAGAACATGAGCGACATTGGATTGTTATTGTGGTGAATTGTAAAAACATCTTAGTTTCCTCAGTTACACGACTCCAGTGCGGATTACTGGCAAGAATCTTCTAACCAGCTCACAAAAATATGGCTTGAATATGGGGGCTTAAAATGGCGGGATAATAAATTCAAGACATGAAGAAATAAAAATATAGCTCTGACTGAAGTTTTAACTGCCAGCTGGGTTTTTGCTTGAATTATGAGGTTCTTAAAACATGATACTAAAATCTTAAATATATCCACAAGTAAACTTTAACACTATTGATATGTTTTTTTCTTTTTCCAAATGTCCATGGAAACAAGCAGGTGAACAGATAGTTAAGCCGCCTCCCAGTAAAAAAACATTTTGATCAATAAAAATGAATACATTCTAAATAAAAGGCCTTTAAAGATGCAGAGTTGGTGATTTTTTCCGCATTTTTTTTTTTTAATTGTGGGAAAACGTCCCTAAACCCTAAAGTAGTCAAGTTATCATGTGTTTTCAAATAGTAATGGAATTGACCAGATGACTATAGTCTCCAAAAATTAATCAAAAATATAATGGAATGGGCCGATAAAAATAAACCAATGGGATTTGTTCATCCCCAACAAACCAATGGGATGCGTTTATCCCAGTGGGGGCAGGTCCTGGCTCAAAAGTGGCCAAATTGATGTGTGCTGCTAACATATAGCATTAGCTGACCTCTCAAAAACGTCTTCACAGGATGGACCGAAAGATGGCTCTGGGCCCAAAGCTGCGTTCCACATGTGTGTCAATGCTGAGGGGGGTGAATTCTTTTGGTCCACTCTAGTTTACTTGCTGTGAATTTTAGAAGTCTCTCGTTCAAATGAATGGTGCTCACGCCGGCTGTCGCATGCGCAGATGCGTTTTTTCCCAATTTTCTTGTGGGCGGGACCACTCGCGGCCATTTTGGATAGCTCCAGTAGAGCACTATTTTTGGCCCATTAGTTAGAACAGCGGAGATAGGCGTGACTACGTCCATTATTTTTACAGTCTATGGTTTATCCCCTTCACCCTCTTCCTGTTTCTCGTGAGTGCGCCTGAGTTATCGGATTATTTTCTAAAACCTTAAATGGCTGAACAGAAAAGGCCAATTTCATGTTTGCCATCCACTCTTTGTGTTGTGACAAAGAAAATAAAATGCTGGATGTTTAGTTTGGTGGAGAGGCGAGGGGAGGGGGCAGAGTGGTCTTGAGTTGGTGCTACGGCTAAGCTAACAACATTGCTTACGGCACCTTTAAACCATCTACAATCAAACTGGGGGAAGATTTAAATGTTCAATAATTACACATTAATCTTTTATCTGTGCTCTCAGATACCACTCCAACTTGTCTTTTTTTCTTTTCAGGCATAGCCAAATTAGCATCACGTGAGTCTATTTGGGTTGCCAGTTTCTTTTGGGGAAATCCATCTGATTTGGTCACCATCTAAACTCTAGCAACTACATGTGTGCTGGCAACAAAGACGTACATTGTATTTGTGATAACTTGATAAAAAACAGTAAGAGCAAAAACGACGCACTGTTCCTTTAAGATGGAGTAAACAACATAAAAGCGTTCTCTAATCTTGTAAATACACCACACTGATGCAAAAACGCAGAGTAAGGGAATGCCAGAAACAGCTGGAGCTTTAGCTGTTTCCAAGGACACTTTATGGGCTGAGGTGCAATGAGGTCAAGTTATTTAAGGACATAAAAAAAAAAATATATATATATATTTATTTTAATTTAAATTCCAATTAAGTTCAGTGCACTCACAGTCTGACCGGGACGAGTCTTCTCCTGAGCGTCTTGGCCTGTCGTACACAAATCCCAAAGTAACTTCAGAGCCACAAAGGAAAGTCAGGATCCAAACGAGCTGAAAAAAGCAAAAATAAATAAAAACCTTACCTGAAAACATCCAAAAGCGCAAGTTAGTCGCTCCATAACGTGATCATTAATAGGTGATACATTTCCCATTTACGCTTGTTTAGCCCCATACACATAATTATTGTGATTGAAATTGTATTTGTTGTGTGTCTTTTAGTGAATTGCGTTATTGTGTTGTGGCACATGTGCAGTGGAGAGACAGGGGACCACCCGGGCGCGCATAACAATCACTGACTTTGACGAATCGTTGAGGGCTTCAAATGAATTCACAATTGTTCTGCAAATGCATGGCAGCAGGGGAAGGAAGGAAGGAGGAGATATCCGGCTAATAAAGGCATTTTACCTTACAATAAATTTCCCCAAATAACAAAATGGAATGTAAACTTTACATTTTACGCACGGAAAAAAAATAGCGCATTTAATGGTATCGTTACATGGAGTCTTACCGTACCAGTTTGTGAAGCAGCATAGTCCCAGGTCGGTTCGAAGGGGAGTCTGGTGCAGTGGATCCGAGGGGGGAGTGATGCTGACTGGGACAGAGGGGACCACCGCAGCGGAGGCACGGGAGCACGGGGGAGGCGACTCCGAAAAGCGCACGGCGTTCTTATTGGTGTTGGCGCGAAGGAGGGATCTAGTCTGCATTTTCAACACTCACAGGGGGTTTGACAGTGAAAAAGTCATATTAAAGAAATAAAAAAAGAGGGACTGGCTTGGTTTGAGACATAAGTCCAAGGTTGATTACTGGGCCAATTGGCTAACCACGTAAATATTATACAGAGCATGTATCCAGACGCCATCATTGGGGGCGCGTACAGAATTATACAAGGACAGGACAAGTTTCAATGTCATACACCACTTGTATTGATTAAGGTGTGCAAAATAATTCAAGATATAACCATTTTATTCATTAATTCTCCCTTTATTAACATTTTTTCAGGGTCAGGGGGGTGGCAATCGGAGTTGCAAACAAATTCACAAAGCTCCAGTCCCTCGCTGATCCTCCTGCAGGTGGTGGGTCCACAGGAAGATATGGCTGCTCCTTCAATGCAGATACAGGCTTGATCTTTCAGCGGGATTTCAAGCATCAGTGGGAGCAGCTGACATTGTTCATGGTGGGATATGTAATTTTGCATACATAAACAAATGAACAAAAATAGAAATGTTTAAATCAAAATCCATCCACAAGGGATTTTGATTTAAACACATATTTCTGATTCTATCACTAGTTTTCACATGCATGTCTTTTTGGGCTCTGTCACATCTTTAGATCAGCGGTTTCTGACAGAAAAAGTGAAAGAGAAGGGATCACATTCGCTCAGACCTCAGCCCAAACTGTCAAAGTGGGACTTTTTAGTATGCAACAGATAACATGTTTTTTAATAGGATGAAAACAGCATGTAATGGTCTGATTTGTTACTTTTCTGTTGAGAAGAACTTTCCAGGTTTAAAATTGCAACAATAGTCTCTTTTGTTGTAATCCTGACATTTAAATACATGAAAGGATGTCAGTAATGTAAGAAAATATAATACTTTCCGATTTTATTTCCTTCTCAATATGTTTAACTGGGGACCATTAAAACCTGTGGTCATACAGTTTCAAACCTTGTTGTAATCACACTGAGCAATGCCAAAACCAACTTAAAACACATGCAAGAACAGTCAAAGACAGTGTAAGTACAAAAATTGCTTTAATAAACAAAATTGATGAGTATATAATAAAAACACATGTTTATGACACATTTAAAAAAATACAGTGATTTAAGGGGGAAGATGTAAGTCCACGCAGACCATTTGACGTGTCATGTTTTAAACAGCGATCCATCAACTCTCTCTCCCTCAAACCACAGAGCGGCGGCTGGGACTATGCTTGTGGTGACGCGGGACTTGGCCTCGGTGTCTGCGCTGAGGGGGGTGCTATAAAACCAGGCCGTGTGTTTGGACAGAGCTGAATGTGGTCAGAAAGCCTCAGACAGCATGGAAGCGGTGTTAAAAGTGCACCAGCTCCGACGGGCCAAGTGTCCACTGCGTATGTGTGCGTGTACGTGAGTGAAATGTTCCCTTTCTAACAGTACGGCCTCAGTACAAGCAGGTATTTGTGGGGCCCTGGTCAGACATGCGTTACGGCGTGCTCCTGATGCAATCACAAAAGCTCGGCTGTAGTCTGCTCACACCTGCTGCTAGCATGTGTCCAAACAACATCACGTCTCACCTGCTAGCGTACACACACACACACACACACAAGCACGAGGGCAGATGTTTTGGGATGGTGGCCCCACGTTTAGAAACGTACACGAATCAGGATTTCATGGATACAGAGTGAACAGAAATCGACCTTTAACCATGTTTTTACAAATTCTCTTCTGCAACATCTTCATCCGATTGACAGGCTTATTATTTTGACGGTACTTATGAAAATGCTCTCTCATAGGCCGGAGGTTGCAATGAAACGCATCCATGTTTGGTGTTTGTTTGGTTTCAAGGTGATGTCTGTAACTTTATTTGTATTTCAGGGTCGTTTTGGACAATACGGCCCTCTAGTATCGTCTAAAGTAAGTGTTTTAACAAATGAATAATGAATTTAGTCCTTCCTGTTTACATAACAGTCACCAGTAAGATTTTCTGGAGGAGATCAGTCACACCAATGACAAGGATTTAAATTAATTTTGCCCAATCAGGAAGCTGTAGGAGTGAACATGGGCGGGTCCAACTGCTACGTGAATTTGAAAACGCTTCTTTCTCGACGATTTTAAAAGTAACTTGACGTTTACTTTAACAGGCCGTTGTAACAGAAGGAAAAAGGAGATAAGAAGTTATTCATTAAATAACATCCAGAGGCCGCTTTGCTTTGTCACTATATTTTAACAAAAAGAGACATGGAATTGCATTCAGTTATGATTTTTACCCTTTTGGTGCCAGAATGCTTTCAGAAATTGGATTTGAAACAGGCAAAAGTGGAGTTCTTACACTGTATAAGAGATAAAAGACAATAACAGATCAATAACAGAAATAAATATGCAAGAAAAATGTTGGAACACATTTGTGAGAAACATCTGTGGGAAGCCTGGTCGCTGTATAGAAAGTACCCATGAGCTCATACAGCCATTCTAGCACCTAAAGGGTAAACTCACATTCACTTTCTCATTCACAGTAAAATGACAAATCCTGGGGTCTAGAAATAAACCATTTATGTCAGTGCTGGCTATTCGGAATCAGTCATGCTACACCCGGATACAGCTGGACGCTAAATACTGAGACTACAATGATTTCAATTTGACAAAAACACAGGATATTTTACACTTTTTGTCTCATCCCGCCATGTTTTAAATACTCACAGCTGCTTCTGAAGCCTCCTCAGTCGGACATGGAGGGCGAGCGGAGGGAGCGCCCGCTGGCAGGACTGTTGCTGTACATGTGGGAGTCTCGGTCTTTGTCCTTGTCTTTGCTGTCGTGTTTGTGCTTGTGTTTGTGCTTGTGCTTGTGCTTCTTCTTCTTCTTCTTGTGCTCGTGGTGGTGGTGGTGGTGGTGGTGGTGCCCGTGCTCGCCCCCGTGCTTCGAGGAGGAGGTGGTGGTGGTGGTGGTGGCGGTGGTCTCTTTGGAGAAGACTGGAGCGGGGGTGGCGGGCAACGACAGCAGGGACTGTTCCACTGACGACGGAGGCTCTTTACCTAAATATGTGAATGAAGACTGGTTTTTAAACTAATCGAAAAAGGGTTCTTACACACACAGACGCACGCACGCACTTCATGCACTTCACTAAAAGTTAGCCATAACAGTTCATATCCAGGCAGGGCCTTTGAACAGCAATAGGATAACTACTACTAAACTATTATTAACCATATCAAAGTAAACCTGTATTTTGAAATTTATTTGGTATATAATTGTATCACAAATCATAAAAAAAATATTTAGGCATCAAAGCATCAAACACATATGCTAAATATTTTTCTTCTTTTTTGTACCTGGTGTTGAGGGTCTCTCCATGAGATTCAGATGTTGATGAATAAAAGCCTGGCTGTCATGAACGGTCTCCATGTCGATATCTTCATCCTCCATGGCGTTAAACTAAAAAGTAAAACCAAACGTCAGGCTTTTGCTGCTCACATATTTGAGCCATATTTTGAATCACTCTGAAATCACTGATAATTGCATTCTCCCCGGAGAGAAAAAAATTCCTCACCCTGATCTTGAAACGTCGTCTGGTGTCCTCGTCCGACGGCTGCAGCACCTGTCCGGGCTCAGGGGGAGAGCCCAGGGGGGTCTCTGCCTTCCTCTTCAGCCCGGGAGGAGGCTGCCCCACTCCACACACGCCCAGAGACACGGGGTCCGGCTCCTCGTCCACCTGCAACAACACACACAGCATTCACAAACTATCTCATTTCTGATTATCACACCGGATTTTTGAAGTTTTTCCTTTGCAGATGCTGGAGGGACAGTGGTGCTGATCCAGGACACTTCACACTCAACAACATTTATGGACATTTATCAACATTTATGGACATCGGATCGGTCATCTGCCTCTTATGGACCAAGGGTTCTGTGTATTTTATCATTTATAATTTCTTTTTTTTCCTCATATATACTTTACTGATCTCACAACGGAAAAACTTTTGTTTTGTTGAATCGTCGTATACACATCAAGGCATGCTGCGTGCTGTTACTTCCACGCTCCTTATATGCAAAGTTGGATAAAGTGTCTTGCCCAAGGACACAGCAGCAGTGGGAGTCAGTGGAGAAGGTCTTGCGGTGGGCTCGACCCCACAACCTTCAGGCTCAAAGACCAATGCTCTCCCAACTGAGCCACTATCGCCCCAGAGACTCAGTTGATATGATTCTTGTTTGATTCTCTGATCTGAGTTGGCGAATCGACGAGATAACTACTGTTGAAAATAAGTGAGTAAGTCATGTTTATTTTACAGACCAAGGTCACCCAAAGCAACAGTGGCTCAGTTGGGACTGCATTGGACTTTGGGCCTGATGGTTTTGGGTTCGAGACCTACTCCATCTCCATCTACACCATGTCATTGTGTGCCTGGGAAAGACACTCAGCCTGAAGCCCCCACTGAAAAGACCAAGACCCTCCACCTGCAGGAGGATCAGGGAGGGGCCGGTGCTATGAAGATTGGGTAGCAGCTCTGATTGCCACCCCCCTGACCCAGAAATAGACTAATAAAGGGGATGAGAATGAACGAATGAATCATCACGATCACAGAATAATGGTTATATCCAAACACACAATGCAAGGTTAAGCCAAATTTAACTCTTGAACTCTCAAACGGAATGGCCTAATACAAGACCAAAGCAGGTGTTGGGTGTAAATATAAATGCATGGACATGGAAAACCCAAAGCATGAACCCATTTTGGCTTTTTCACCTTAATCCTGACGAGTGAGATGGCTTTTACAGTCAGTGACTCTATGAGAAACAGGTTCAGCCAAAGAGAATTGCCAGCAGCGGAAAACCCAAGATTATATATCAGTGTGCCATCCGCGCGTTTGAATGCACAACTTAGCACCAGAAAATATAGACCACCGGGCAGAGACCTCCTTACATCACCTCTGGCACACAAACTAATGAAACTAGAGTGTCTCGGTGATGTCATTCGAAATAATGTTATATTCTTATGACTCTGTCCGTGGGCCGTAAAGTGTACACTATGCTAATCAATTCTGGCTGAATTTCTATGATTTTTCCTAACTTGACTCCTCTAGACTTTTTTATAACCTAACTTTTCTTCTACTTTTAATCACTGTGACTGTCACTTGTGTCCTTTTAAGGAATTCCTATTGATTTGATATAATAATTAAGATGTGTCACTACAAAATAAATGTAGGTGGTGCCTATAAGGATATTATTTGGCATCCGTCTTCCTCTTAAACATGTTGGGGATGGGGATAATAGCAGTTTGGAGGTAAGGTCAAAAATGATAATATTCTGTTCAATATCCATGAAACTTCATTGCTATCAAACACAAAAACTAATTAACACTTGCATATATAATATTAATGTTTTGAAGTTGTTCCATACACAAATTGTACTGTAAACTATGGTAGTGCATTGCCTATCCAACAATAAGATTGGTATCACGGTAATAGGACCATAATACGATACAATATAAATATATGCCGATACTAAACTATTTGTTTTAGTGTTTTAGTGATTCATTAGTGAGCGAGAGTACGGGACAAGTAAGATGCTGCATTGAACCAAAAAATACATATGTTTAGGAGGTAATCTTCCTAAACCAGATCCCATCGTTAAGGAAAGATGGGTCTGTCGACGCCCAGGAGGTCCCACAGACAGCTTTCATAATCATCTCTTTTAAAAACATGCGGTGTGAGGATTTTAAAGCTTTTTCTTTTCATTTTTTTGTTAAACATGAGTGGCTCTGTGTATGAATTGTATATAACCAAATAGATATTTTCTAACATCAAATTGATCGAATTAATTGTTGGGCTCAGAGCTGAGACTTAGTTGCTCCTTTAATTTGAAAAGCAGGTACCCCAGCACTAATGCACATGCACAATGCACAAACCAATGTTCAAACTCACTGTGTTGAAGCACATGCCGACTCCGTGGATGCCGATGCTCGCGGGCGTGTCTATGAGGGTGACTCCGCCCACCTCCGGTTTGATGGTAGGGTTTAGAACGGCCTTTTTCTCCTTCAGGTTCAAAACCAGCCCCAGCTCCGGCAGCGGCAGACATGAGGGCCGCATGAGGCCGAACAGAGTGTAGTACAGGTTTACGGCGTCACAGCGCTGCCTCCAGTCATACGATGTACCTGCGGAAGGAACAAGAGCCGTGTCACAAGTTTCACAAATATGTGCTTTTAACTTGCAACGACAAAATTTGAGCTATGTAAGGTTGAGTCTGGATGAGGCTGGATTGCATAAATAATATTTATTTAGTGTGTGCCAAATATACTAACATTAACAGATCTATATGCAGATTAAACACTAAAATCGTACATGCTATTTTATTTTCTAAACACAGTTGAGCTCCTGGATTGATAATTCCTTAATAATAACAGAAGAGAAAGAAGATTTAAGATTTATATGTTTATGATCCTATCATATGAATGGTGTTTTGTTGATAATATTAGTGAATAACATGTCATATTTGCCACAAATCTCAGTGAGAGACACAATGGCATTAAGCTTTGATGTCCACTTGGAGGCCCCATGTTGTCCATGAGTAAAATACAAGTCACCATCAAAAGACATAAAAGTTACATTTCTATAACACAAACTTAAGCAATGTGTTCAATAGAGATGTGTCTGGATCATTACAACTAATCCAGCCATAAAACAAAATGAGTGGCTGGGCAAAAAAGAAGATACAATAAAGCAACAAGCCTGCGACCACATATTTAGTTGTTACAATCCCTCCGACATTGTAAGGAAGGTTAAATACAAGATAAGTAGCTCTATGTGTGCCATAGGAGTATCCAGTGTCGTGTTATTTGAGTTAGTAATGAGTTGGACAGTGCGTGTTATTTATTGAGGCGAACGTGGGGGGGGGGGCAACAGACTGTGCGGCTTTGGCTTATTGCTAACTATGGATCCAAACGACATTGACCTTGAGATGGTTGAAACTTCATCCGGTGCTAGCGTACGTGCTGTTTAACACATGGGGGGTTGTGGTTAACGGAGATATGGACAAAAGCGCTGTTTTAGCATGCCATTTACGGCTTCCACATTGGGGGTCCATATATTTAAACTGACAGGTCCTGTAACAATTGAGTCCAAGTTAATTTGAAATGATGTTGCTACAAGAGTTGGGTATCGTCAAATCGCTGTACAATGGTGAATATATTGCATTGTTGTAACCTTATTGTTACTGGCAGAGTGAATGAGAGGCCGGGAGAGACACCTATGACCCCATGTACGAGAAACTGAAAGATGAGGAGACAATAGGGAGCGAGGTCTTGTCAATGGAAAAATATAAGCAATAAAATCATTCTCAGTGGTTGAATATGACTTGTGGGAAAGAGCACTAATAAGACAATTGCTGTACAATGAAGCAAATAAATTGGATTTATATGTACAGAGGCAGTATACAAAAAGACTCGCCAAAAACTATTCATCTAACCACACTTTTCATAATTATTTTGTGACTAAACTTTGATTTATTAAAAGTTCATGTAAATACTTTGTTATATACCCTTTGTTGGCAATGACAGAGCTCAAACGTATTCTGTAGGTCTTCACAAGGTTTTCACACGCTGTTGCAGGTATTTTGGCCCATTCATTTATGCAGATCTCCTCCAGAGCAGTGATGTTTTGGGACTTACGAATGCCCGGGCGGTGTGTTTGGGATCATTGTCAGGCTGAAAGACCCAGCAACGTTTCATCTTCAAAACTGATGGAAGGAGATTTTAATTCAAAATCTCACGATACATGGCCCCATTCATTATTTCCTTTACACAGATCAGTCGTCCTGGTCCCTTTGCAGAAAAACAGTCTCAAAGCATGATGTTTCCACCCCCATGCTTCCTAGTAGATATCTCCCAATCCTCTTCTGGATCATCCAAATGCTCTCGCAGGCTTCAGACGGGCCTGGACATGTACTGGCTTAAGCAGGGGAACACGCCTGGCACTGCACAATGTAAACCCTAACTTCAATCCTACTTCAGATATCAAAGTTATTTTAAATAGATTTTTCCCAGTAAGTAGATATTACTCATTTATTGTTAGTTTATTTAAAGCTTGCCTATGTCACTCAGGATTTTCTTTGAATTGAACTGTTTCTGTTCAAGTAAGCCTCACTTTTGACATTTTGACGTGTAGACTCTTTAATGAGGCAGGTGTGTTAATGGCAGGGTGGCCTGGTGGCTGAGTGGGTAGCACCATTACCTCTCAACTACAGGGTTCTGAGTACGAATCCCAGTCGGAGCATAAGTAGAAATTTTAACTTTATTGCAATCACTCGAGTTTACTTGGTAATATCAAGTAAACGATGTACTCGAGGAATTCAAGTGAAGTTAATACGCAATTTATTTCCATGGTTTTTTCAAGTAAACTTGTCAGGGTTTACAGTGCAGGATTTGAGTCCCTGGCGGCGTAATGCGTTACTGATGGTACTTTGGACCCAGCTCTCTGCTGGTCATCCCTCCTTGTGGTTTTGGGATTTTTGCTCACCATTCTTGTGATAATTTTGACCCCACGGGGTGCTCCCACAGTTGATTTTTTCACACCAAGCCGCTTAACTATTACAAATTCAGTCTTCCCAGCCTGGTGCAGATCTACAATTTTGTTTATGTTGTCCTTTGAAAGCTTTTTGGTCTTGGCACAGTGGAGTTTGGAGTTTGACAGTTTGAGGTTGTGGACAGGTGTCTTTCAGACTGATAATGAGTTCAAACAGGGAACGAGTGGAGGACAGAGAAGCCTCTTAAAGAAGGAGTTACAGGTCTGTGAGAGGCAGAATTGTTCATGTTTGTAAGTGACCAAATACTTATTTTCTACCAGAATTTGCAAACAAAATTCTTTAAAAATCAGACAAAATTATTTTCTGTATTTTCTTTTCTCATTCTGTCTCTCATAGTTGAGGTTTACCTATGAAGAAAATAACAGGCCTCCCTCATATTCTTAAGCGGGAGAACTTTCACAATTGGTGGCTGACTAAATAATTTTTTGCCCCACTGTATTGGTCTTCTGTCTGGCATTCATTTCCAAACTGGAAGTATCTCGGTATTTTAGATATATGTGTTATATTTTAGGGTGAGATCATAGCTGGATGTGCTGATTCCAATTATTTTAGAAAAATGTCTACGAATGTGCCTTTTCTAACTATAAAATACTAAAATACTGCAAATTGGTGACAACTTCCTGAGTAATGTGTGGAGGTCAGTTGTATGAAATTAATACCATAAGCATGAAAGCACATGTCTTAGATGTATTAGTATAATTACCTAAGTCAATAAAAAAAATAGACCAATTGAATGAACTTAACATTCTACGGTTGGAACTGTTAAAACATGCATGCATTTCCACTATTCCTGTGTGTAACAGTTTTGCCAATTTGTGGTCACGTCCTGCACACTGCTCTGGGTATTAGTACTTTTTAATGAGCCACGAGGAAAAACAACACTATAATTTAGAGAGTTAAAAAAACAAAGGAGACACGAATCTGGCCAAAACCTTCCGTTCATTTGTTGGATTTTGAGTGGAGCGTGCAGGCTGCAGGAGCCACCATGACCAAACCAGAAGCATCAGGCCAAAGAGACCAGCGCTGTAAAGTCAAGCTCATAATGACGTGCCCATTTGGTTTTGACTCCACAGACTACACAGAATAATCCTGACACTCTATATTTTATGACCATAAGCAACAGCACTTTCTGAATCCACAGAATAATAACGGTTTGTGTAACAGGCCGTATACTTCAATGTAAAAAGACTGTCTTTATAATGGTTTTTTACGAAAGAAATTCTTTGACATCATTGGCCCATTGTGATTGTTAACATTTATAAAATGTATTATATATTAGGGCAACATTTGGATGCAATACAAGACTTATACAAGTCATTAGAAAAGCACTCGAAGAGCACAGACCTCTGTTCAGAGGTGCAGTTCCAAAAAGTGAATAATTTCCTTGTAACCTCGTCCCAAACCCAAGTGATAACACCACCCCGTTCCAACCTTTCCTGAAAAATCTGCACATAACTCTTTTCATATCAAGTACATGTCTGTCTGTGAACATTGCAGTTGTGATAGTATGATAGTTTAGGTAATAATAATGAGTATGAATACATTTGATGAAGTACATTGAAGTGAATAAACCAATAAGTGAATGTTTTATCGAGTGGACTGAAACCAAAGCTCATGTCAAATGATATGAGGTAGATTTTCTCACCAGAGTTCATGAGTTTCCATAGTTGGTCGACCAAAGCTTCGTTGCAGAGTATTGAGTCTGAGGTTCTGGTAAATGGTGGGTTTTTACACAGCATTCCTAATATTCTGTGCCTGGATACAGCAGAAGAAACATGGATTATAAATAAACAGTTACATTAAAAAGATGGGGAGAGGAACGCTGTAGTATTCACGGACCTGACATAATGGACTGGATCATTCTGGACCATGTCAAGAAGCCACTGCAGCTCTGTCGCACTCTGTTCAACTAAAAAGACAAATTACAGTATCAACATCACTCACGTTGCTACTTCATCGAGGACACTTTCTATACAGTGACCTGACTTCCCAAAAATGTTCCCTACATTTTTTGTACATATTTTTCTTGAATGTTTTTCTTAATATTGATTTGAGTCCTCTATCGCATAGGCAGTTTCAGGGGTCCACTTTTGGTCTGTTCCATTTCAAAATTCTGAACAAGTCTGGCATTAAAAGGATTAAAGGACATTCAATGATAGTCATTTTTGTTACAGGTCTACTTATTGTGAGGTCTAACATTTGTTTGCTGTTTTATTTGTTTTATTTCTGTCTTTTATTGTCTGTATTTGTCTGTGCACACTGGAGACTTTTGCTAATGTATTCCAATGTGGTTTTTTTACTGCAAATGGCAAATAAACTGAATCTGAATCTGAATCTGAACAAAAAGGACAATGGTGATGATCCAGGACACTCAAAATTCAACAAAATGTATGGACATCTGCCCCCTATGGCCAAATACCAATGTGTTTTCTGTTCGATTTCTTGAGTTTGATTCTCTGATCGGTGTTGGCGAATTCAACGGTTTTGTCCTCCGAGATAACTACTGTTGTGATTTAGGGCTACACAAGTATACATTGAATTTAAATGAATAGAATTTTTACATCTACTTAAAATAGGGCACCCGTTTGTACATAACATAGAAAATAAAAGTGACAAACAGAAACATAATGTCAAACCTCTTGTATAGTCTATGAGCGCATCGAGAGCAGCCACCCGGACGTCCACAAAGTGACCGTACTCGGCGTAGGACTTGAACAGAGAAGGGTCACTCGGAATGTGACCGTTTTTCTGCAGTTCACGAATCGCTCGCAGGCAACTGGGTGAGATGAGAGCCAACATTAAAGCTCAGTCCAAATAGTAATAATGTGTTTAGGAACGGCAGGGGTTTGTACTTGACGGTGATGGTGTTCCTGAAGCTGGGCAGCAGTTTCTCCATGTTCAGGAAGCGCGTGATTTCCTCCAGGATGAGTCGGACGTCAGGATTCAGACTGACCACTGTGCGCGCCTCGTTGTTGATGCTCATGGCTGGTGTGAGCGAGTTTGTCAGCGCCTTGATCAGATCTGCGCGGTAATAGTTATCTGAAAACTACAGACACAAGCTTTAGTTGACAAATTGTAAAAATAAGTGCATTTGTAATGATAATAATAATTCATTTGTTTTATATAACGCTTTTCAGGACACTCAAAGGCGCTTCACATGGCATTTTTCTTTCACTCCGTACACAGTCATGAAAAACGACTATTGTGGACGCAATTGCCCTGGGGCACGCTGACAGAAGCGAGGCAACCAGTACGTGCCATCGACCCCTCCAACCACCACCAACAATTCACACACACAACAGACTCATTTTAGGCAATGTGGGTGAAGTGCCTTGCCTAAGGACACAATTACTACTAATACAGCCACAGCCGTCCCACTGTGGCACCTGGTGTTACCTGAGGTCTCCCATCACAGTACTAACCAGTAGTATTTGTAGATACACATGGTGAAACTAGTGCAAATATTGTTGCTTGATTGTATATTTATGTTTATATATTTGGATGTGTAAGTTTATACTCTAAGCACAGAAGGAAACATTTACAAAAGGTCATGTAAAGGAATGAAAATATTGTAAATACATTTAGGCTTGAATGAATATCAATCAATCAAACAGTAGTAAAACATATTTTGCTAACTATATAATGAGACTAAACAATTGATGAAATAAAATCTTTACTTTGTTCTTTCTGTTGTCGTTGTACTTAATTAGATCCAGTATAAAGTTTAGGACGTCTTTAGGACAGAGGTTTTGGACATCTCTGAGCAACGCCATGGCAACGGGCATCGTCTGGACACAAAAAAAACATGTTAGCGTTAGTCAGAACATAATGCAGTTTACAAATGACAATACTTTTATGGATTAAGAGGAATGTTTGTGACATTTTTAAAGTCTTCCTCATGTTATTATTATTATTATTTACACATTTTGTTGTCAAAGTCATATCTTAATAACCTGGCAAGAGCCAGATTGATGATTGTGTAGAACTCTAACGCGTTCTCCGCAATATCAATCTGGGATTTCTCACGGAGAATCCTTTCGGGGAAAGGAGGGATAAGCAGCAGAATACTTGAAGCTGATTGGGCGAAGTGACGCTGTGTGCCCGCCTACCAAGGTTTGACTTACGTAGGTAAAAATGCACAAACATCTTTGCCGTCCAGAAATGCACAAAGCGCCTCTCGCTGTTTATCTTTCAAAAAAGAAATTGGAGATTCTGCTAAAACTGACTTGATAGCCTCAGCTACGCGTCCGTCCTCCTGCGTAGCCATGTTTGTTTTGCTTCGGCCCGGCACTTCTTGCTTTCGTCAAACCCGGATATCCCGCCCTAAACCCCCAGACTGGCGCGTGATTGGCTCGCACACCCAGTGGTTCGACTCGAAAAGTGTAAGCGGGAGCGGTACAAGATGTATTCTCGAGTGTTTGTGAACTCACAAATACCGCGAGAATTCAGCTTGCAGGCAAGGTTAATATCTTAACACTTTTCTCCTTGTAAGAGAGCCCTGTAAGTCACCATTTTATGCTTTGGGCTGAGAGTTGATTGGTTGAGTAAGCGTGGTCTTCTCTTTTTCAATTTTCTGTCTGAAAAAGCTGATCTAAAGATGTCACACAAAAAAGAGTAATAGTGAACCAAATGGTTTTCAGAGCGAGGAACTAGTTACATGGATTAAATTACATAGTTACATTTTAGTTTGGTGTGAAAGTTAGGTACCCCAACTTTAAGAATACTTTAGTAAATGCTACTCACAACACCACAATACTGTACTTATATTGTGGTGTGGATATGTTTAGATTACCTGCCTCGCCTTAAATTCTGTATTTTGTATCTATGTCATTTTTTTTTATACCTCAAAAGTCCCTAAAATATTGCTGTACACATGAAAGAAAGTGTGAAGCCACGTCGTCCGTGTGGAAAAAGCCTGCGGTATGAAGTGCCCTGTCTGCGTGTACCAGTTCATTGGTCTGTGGGATGTACCTTCTGCAGGAAGTAGCTCTGAAAGCTGATGAAGTTGTTAGTTTTTACGATGTTCGGGCAGCTCTTGCAGCAGAACATCCTGGTAAACAAGGACTTCATCGCTGGGGGACCTTGCCACGTGCTCATCATAGAGTTGGCAATCTGTAATGAGAAGAACAGTTTAGTTGGAAAAATTATTCAAAAATAAATGTTGCAATTTGTCTGAAATAGTTTTGACAAGGAAGAAAAAACACATCAAAATCACTGTAAGATAAAAGGTTTGTTTTTAGATATGTTTCGCTGATTGGATTTTAATTGTATTGTAAACCATAGCTTGATTTTCCTTAAAATGACAGTACGCCATGCCAACACAAATGCTTAGTTGACTTCTAAGGCTTCAGTGGATTAAACAAGCTTTCTTAGAGGTCAAAATATTAAACCATGAGGGTTATGTGAAAATGACAATACAGAATTTCAATATTTTATCATTAAAAAGTACAAAATGAGATTGAAAGGATACAATCACACTCTTGCTAGAAGTTTTACACAATGTTCCCTCTATGTTAAACGATGAATGAAATGATGAATTGACTGGAAAATCAGATTGACGCACTGTCTTTCCACAAGTATTGGACCAGAGACTGCAGTCCAGCGGTCTTTGTTGCAAGGCAGGATATTGGAGATTTATGTAAATGTGGTAATAAGGGGCTAAGGGTCATCGCCACAGGATGTAGTCATTTGGGAAGGTAAACAGAGGGGGCATGCAAGCCGGGATGTTTTTGCATGTGTGTGTTCATCGTGACTTCTGAACATGAGTTTGATGTTCCTTCCTCCAGGCCATATTCCACAGTTCCAACCAATAACAAGCACATTTAGCCCGTCCTGACCAATCACGGCGCACGGTTTGTAATGAGTGAAGTCATATTTCATTTTGTGGTTGTGGCGGGCGGAATATGCTGGTCCTTGTTTATGCGAACGGAGCTTGTGTGTGTAGTTTATACCAAAGGCCATTACGGAGGGAGTCTGTTGAGAGGTTAGCAGCCAAACACAGCAGTGGCAGTGAGGCGCAGCCATCGCGACCTGCTCACAGTTTATCATGTGAAAATATTGATACAGGTGGAGGTCCAAAATACTGGAAATCCACAGGGGGTTAAATTTGCAAAATGCCAGAATCCAGAGGAATTCTTTATGGGATTGTTGAGGTTTCGGTACGCCAAGGGTTAACGGGTGGGCGAACCATAAGGAATGTTTTCATTTCTGCAGCATACTGACAGCAGATACACCAAAGATCGAGATCAGCATCAATTCAGGAAACTATTGTATTAAATATATTTGTAAATACAATTGATACTATTACACGTTTTCATGTTTATCTTTACTGACAACGTATAGAAGCATTCAAAGGCAAAGATTTTATAAGAAATGATTTTGAAAGTGGTGGGAGACCCGTTTCAACTACTGATACTAGCTGATATTGTTTTGGGTTGAGTGATTGAGGTCTATTGCATGATAAACATTACATCACGTCAACGGAAGTGAAATTTGCGAAAAGTAATATTACTGTGCAGCCGTGTGAAGTCTCCTTCTCTCCACATCTTTCATCAGACCTCCCAAACTCACGCAACCGCCCTCAGGCCTCACTTCCTCTCCCTCCACTTCCATGAATGCACTAATCCATGCAGATTACTCCCGATACGCATTCTCAGCCCCACCTTTCTGCCAAGATACAAACTCCCACTCCTCCCTTCCTATTTATCCAGCGTCCCAGCGGATGTCTGTCTCTATTAATCATTTGATACCATAACTCAAAATAGAAAAAAAAGGCCTTACCATGTCACAATTAAATAGTAAAAATTGGCTTCTCTATTTGTAAATTCTTTGTTAACTATAACCAAAGTTCCACAGAACAAAACTTTTCGAAGGACTCAGGGCAGGCAGCCAGGACACAGGTGCAAAAGGGCTGTGTCTCCTTCCCAAAGATATAACTATATAAGTCTGGACAGCTGCTTGATCATGAGAATACTAATAAAAGTACCTTAGCCAAACAAAAACAGGCTTGCATGCGGACTTTGTAGAAACACTGGTCCTGCTCCAATATGTCCGTCAAAGCCAGTCTTGAGGCGGGAGTCGGAAACTTCTCAAGGGCAACAATGGACTCGACCTGAAAAACGAAGCGGGCCAGAGTCAGATTTGTATAACATTTATATTGGACCTGGTCATTTGCATTAGCACATTATGTCAATTCTAACACACTTTACCCTCAAAGCTGGGGAATCTAACTTTCAAATAATGTAACTATGTAATCCTATTAGTTCCTTGCTCTTGCACAAATGTATCAATAATTTTAAATTTTTCAGACAGAAAAGTGAAATCATAGACTGTATATGATGGACAAGGCTAGGTACCCCAGCTTTTTTAACATTGCCCAGTACAGCCGGTGCCCACCTGAGCCACCACGTCCCTCTCGTATCGGAGCTGGTACTGCCACATGAAGTCTGCCTGTTCAAACTCCACCTTCCTCAGAATGGACATGTCCGGGTCGATGCGGATCCACAGGAGAGGGGAATCGGCGCTGAATGAAAACACACAATACAGGTTTGTGAGTTTGTCATAATAATAGTAATAATAACAACTCACTCATTCTATTGTTGTGTACTTATTGTGTAAAGCAAAGTCAGACTATTGGGACGCACAAGAAGAAGAAACCATCTACTCACTCCATGGCAGATAAGTCCATGTCCACTTCCTCTCCATTCATCAAAGGGATCTTCTTCTTCTTGTTCCTGTAATAACAAAACAATAACTACAAAGTTAAAAGGAAAACTGATCCTCTGAAGAAGTGGCCACATTATATATATATACATGTGTGTACAGGCCTGATGCAATAACTCATTTGGATAGAAAATATATTGCTTCAGAAAATGTTTTGAGCTAATTTTTGATGTATCCATTTAAGTGAAAAGACCAGCTGAATGAAGTATTGATAATAATACTAATAATATTGCCTCCAACTTATACAACGCTTATTTGGATGCTCAAAGACGCTTTAGAAAGTAACAAGTTAATAAGAAACAAGAATAAAATGCTAAGTATTAGAGTTTTTAGAGATATTGAACATTTTACAGCAAAAAAATCATAGTTTTACAAAGGAAATAGCTACAATCTCTCCATTATGGCATCCATCTTACTGAATGATAAATTGTATACCTCCTGCTCTTGGAGTGGCAGGGGATGTCATGTTTCAGGCTGTTCTCTTCGATCTGCAGCGTGTGGTTGAAGGAGCCGTCTAACTCCTGCACCGTCACCTTGATGGGACCCTGGAAGAAAACAAAGAAACTGAATACATCCCAACTATTAGTCAGACAAAACAGTGCATTCTTCTGCCTCTCGGCGCTCACCACATATTTCTGAGTTCCGGACGAAGTGTAGTCTTGACGGATTTCCAGCTCCAGAACGTTTCTTTTCCTGTTGAAGGCAAAACTTCCAAAGAATTTCACCACGCTGCTCTGGTCCCTGAACGCCACACGATTAAGAGAAAATGTACAAAAACGAAGAACGACAGGAGCAGGTCGGTATGATTTAGGGTTTTTAGCTTCATTTGACAAACATCCTGGCATGACACATGTTTTTACCTTTGAAACTAAGCCACATCTATCATGACTCGACCGGTCACAAAAAGGACTATATCAACTTAATGTTAAAGAATTGATGGAAGGAACAGTACATCTTGGTGATCATATCATATCATTGCGTTTTATGTCTGTCTTATGTGTATTTTCAATGTAGCAGCCTGTGAGTCCAAGACAAATTTCCTACGGGACATAATAAATTAATCTTGAATCTTGATATTTTTCATCTGCATTTTTTCCCTCCATTTTTTTGTAATTTCATTGATAAATTGAATTGTGAAATCTAACCAGAATATTGTATACTATGGACCTGTTATATCTGAATTACTGCTACACCTCATCATCTGAAGCACCGCACGTATTTGTTTTACCCACATGGTGACTACACTATCTATATTTTAAGCATGAGTCATTTATATCTCAAGTGATGACATTTTCAAAAATAAACCGTGTACAGGTGCAATCGCCGCTGCCTTGTCTTCATTTCTCAACGCAATGTTTCAGCCGTAAGTTCTTTTTTTTCTACATGGTGTTGGTCGGGAATAACATCATGATGAGAAAGGCCATGAAAGGACATTTGAAGAAGCTGCTGCCACTCTAGGAGGAAATGTGTTCTACATTTTTTTGTGTTTTAACTGTTGATTCTCTGATCTGTGTTGGTGATTTCAATGGTTTTGTTAAGTCCTCTGATATAACTACTGTTGTGATTTAGGGCTATACAAGAGTAAATTGTATAATAATTGTATTGTATTGTCTTCAGTAAAGAGGATCTGAGTGAAGCGAGAGATATGATGCTGATGATATTGCCCCTGTGATGTCACCGTCCCGAGTCAGAACACTGCCCTAGGACCTCCTTCCTCCCAGCTCTGTCTATAACCACCAAGATCTCCAGAGGAACCATGAGATGAGTGCTTAATTTCAGTACTTAGAGTTTAAAATCCTGCTTGACCCATAGTCAATGTAAATTTTAAATTGTGTTCTACAAATTATTAAGATATACGGCAAACTCAAACTACATAGAAGAAAGGTGCGGTCACAATTGGCAGCCTTGTCTTTGTGCATTCAAGAGTTTAAATACAACTGAATGTTGAGTCTTGACTGAGGTGATGATCCAAATTTAAGATCAGCCTGACGAATCTTCCCGTTTGCACTTTGTAATCTATGAGAAGCACTATACAAATACACTGCCACTACTTAATTATTAACATTTCATTGGTCATCATTGGTCATCTGCCCCTTATGGACCAAAACCAATGTGTTTTCTGTTTTATTTCTTGGGTTTGAACTGTTTGACTCTCTGATCTGTGTTGGCAAATTCTACGGTTTTGTAAAGTCCTCTGAGAAAACTACTGTTGTGATTTAGTTGTGACGTGAATTGAATGTTAGTTTATTTATCAGAGCAGATTCTAACGTGGAATCATAGTATAGCTGAAATGACACTGCTGTATTGTAATTTTTTGGGTCGCATAAAAGTAGTTTCAATATTATCGTTTATCGCAAAGTTTTCCTGAAGCAATATACTGTATCATCCATCCAAAATGTTATTGATTCTCTCTTCTACTGTACAAGAGGATACACCCATTGCTTGATGAGGGGTCCTATGTCTTTTCCCGACACATTGGAGATGGATTTGAGAAAAGCGTGGGTGGACAAAAGCATTTGGCTCCACATGTGACTTTGGTATTTTTGCGAGGATGCAGTGCTGGCCAAACTCAGGAGCTTGTTGAAAACCTAAACAAAGACACAAATGTGAAAGGCGTCAGTGGGATTGAAATGGTTTTTCACAAGTCTCACACGCTCCGCGCCATCCTACCTGCAACATGAACTCCATGCTGATACGGTTCTCAATCAACCTCATCACCAGGTGGGCTTTGCACTGGAACATTTTAAAGTACTCCCAGGACAGCGTGTGTGGATGTTTGGTGGAGAAGTGGAGGTGAGGAGTTGGACTGCGGGGAAATTGATAATAAATTAAATGCTTTGTAGTTGGGTGTGTAAACGTCAAAATGGATTATATTACTTGTCTTTCTCTTTTCCTCCGCCAAACGTTGGATGCAAAAGAACACCTCCCATCTTCAGCTCATACTCAACTATCCTGTCCAGCTCCTGCAAAACACAGAAGAGAACTTATGGCAACCAGGGACCAACAGATACATGGGCATTGATGGATTGATCTGAATAAACAATATGTATATTTTGTATTGAATGTATTGAATGTATCATAGTTATTCATTCATAGTTCAGAATTGGGCTGAGTGGATAGTGAGAAGGTCCTGGGTTTGAATCCCGATCGGAACCCGTGTCTCAAATTCAGATTCAGATTCAGTTTATTTGCCATTTGCAGTAAAAAAACCACATTGGAATACATTAGCAAAAAGGCTCCAGTGTGCACAGACAAATACAGACATAAAACAACATTAAAAGACCTCTGTCTGCGTAGGTTTCCTCCGGCTGCTCCGGTTTCCCTTACCACTAAAAACATTTACAATAGGTCTGGCATGTGCCTCCTGTACTGGCCCCGCTCCCATCTTTGTGTGGAGTGAGAGACACGTGCCCACAAATGTAAAGCGCTTTGTGACCATACCATCGTATTCATTTCATTTGGGAAATAAAAATTGACCGGAGTTTACGGATGGCTAAGGTCAGGCTAGGTAAAACATGTTGCGGTCACAACAAAAAAGACTCCTTTAAGTCACTATGTGTGGGCCGAGAGCTGATTGTCTGGGATGTCTTATCTAAGGATGTGACGGAGGCCAAAGCTACAGGCATGTGCAAATGTTGAGGGTAAGGTTTTAAAGTTAGCTCCCCCGCTTTAAAGTTAATTAAAAGTAGACACATTTTTAATTGGGTGAATGTGCAAAGTTTCAATGATTCCAATTTGTTTTCAAACGGTCATGTGATCACTAGGACAAAACCACCCACGTATTTGCAGACACAATACCTGTTTGATCCAGTGCCTGTACTCGTTGACCCCAAAGGTCTTCTTCAGGTAAAGTCCGTAGATGTATCCAGAGATGCCCTTCAGCACCCACTCATCGGCCCTTCAGAAGCAGGAAGCACAAGACGTTAGGCAGCCCGCGCGTTCGTAAATGCGGCTGTAAAATCTGATATTGATTTATGTGAGGTTCAATGCCACCCGCACTTCACAAAGACATCAAGCGAGAGAGATATACTGCCCACACTGCCTCGCTCTCTCTCGTAGCGCAGCAAAGAGCAATAGCAGTTTGGTTTTGCAATATTACAAGAGATTTAGAAGATTATGAAAGATTTTGTTTGGATGTTGGATTTTTCTTGAAAGAAATTTGGCATTGCAACCCAACACTTCCTTTAAAGTGATCAGGTTGTAAAACGGTGGCAGAATAATCTCCGTTGGTGGTTTTGCATAAGACGGTCACAGGCTTCTGTGGTTTGAGCTGTGATTAAGAACACATTTCTTTCCATCTTGTCAACTAAATCTATACCTTAATTGAAAAACACTGGGACATTTGTATTGAAACTTTAAAACTGGGGTATCTGACTTTCATTGTTCTTTTTGTTGAATTAATTGTGTTTGTCCCAACAGAAAGTATTTTAAATGTAACAAATATTCACACCAAAGCTTTAGAAAAACAAGTTACATTTTGCAGAGTTGTTAGAAAAAGCCCTGTGTGTCACTATTGAACACTTTGGGCAGAAAGTTAGTGGACTTTGTCTTACTTTTCTGTCAGCAAAAGATGATCTAAAAACATGAACCAAACTGATTGAGAGACTGTTACGAGTTACAGTACAAAGTTCTATTGTCTATTGTCTGAAAGCCAGGTACCCCAGATTTAATAGAACAATTCATTATAAAATAGTTCATTTCTAAATTAAGAATAAATGGCTTCCTTTATAATATGTTTTTCCAACTTTTTTCTGTCTAGCACAATCGTTCTGAATATAAAGGCTCAATTGAAAATGCGGCTGGTGTATAATATTTGAAAAAGAGCAGATCTTCTCTGCGCTGTCGTTTTTAGTCATGACACACTCCTGACTGTGGCCTGTTCTCAATTACAGCCCCCCTCACCCCCCCACTGGCCCCCGTCTCTGATTAATTGCTCGCAGACAGCGCCACGCTTCCTACAGAATCAAAGAACAGCAACAGCACTGGGGTCCGTTCTGACACCACGTTGGGCCTTCCACAAAACAAGGGCCCACATCTGAAGAGAGTTTGCAGGTCAGAGAGAGGAGGAGGAAAACACCAAACATCTTGATTGATCTGATGGATGAGCAGCGTGAGAGTGAAGTAAAGAGTAACTGCTAATGAGAATTTTACTTCTTCAATGTCTAAAGCCACAGAATCATTTGTAAACGTGGTGCATTTTTGAAAATGCTTTGTTAAAATGATATTAAAGTTAAAAACAGTAATAATCAGCAACAGCGCTTCAAGGCACAGCAGATGTGGAGTAGCCTCTGGGTGGAGCTGGACGGGTCACAAGGTGGTGTAGCCGCTTGGTTCGGAGCATTTTCTCTGCTCTTGTCCAAAGTAAAATGCTAAATAATTCATTAGCATTTTTCTAAAACTTAGCATTCCTCCAGTGGATTTTCACCTGATCCGCTTGGTTTGGACCATGAATCCTCTCTGCTCTGGTCTGGACCAGTGCAAAACCATGAACACTGTAGTGCAGCAACATCTCAGGTAGAGGGAAGCAATACAAATAAAAAATAAAAAGCACAAAACAACAACTGTCTCAGAGCTACTTAGGACTTGCAGCCGTTTTCCAGCACATTCAAAAGTAAACTATTGTATTGTAACTTGTGCTCCACGCATATACTGTAATATATATATATATATATATATATATATATATATATATATATATAAATTGTTTACGATAGTTTCTCACTCTCACTGTATTCTTGACATCTGTGAAGGACCAACTTCACTCCGCCCAAAACCTCAAATAGTGACTCACAGGGCTCAGGGCTCTTTCCATCAAGTATGCAAAAGATAAGATAAACACAGCATCACATTGTACGATTTATCCACAAAATCTTTAAATTTCTCTTTATATTGGGACAAAAATGAATAATTTCTGAAATTTAAAAACGTATATATACTTCAGCTTTCAGTGGCATTTAATATTAAAATATACTTAAGAACCTAAGTTGTGCCATTGTAAAACATGCTAAGCTTGACCGAATTTGACCGACGCTCACTGCAGCAAAGATCCCCTTGTGAGTTTGTAGGACTGGTAGTCCAGAGCTGGACTGGTTCCCGTCTCTGACCTTACAAATGAGGTTAGCCCGCTTGTAAATCTCTCCTCACCTGATTTATACCAACAGCATGGGGCCAAAAGTTACAACACTGTGAAAAAGCTCAGGTCATTGAGGGGAATTCTCCATGTCCGGTCAGCCTGATTCACACATGTGATTCATTCTCATTCTCAGTTCATCAATTCTCACCATTAAAAGCAGTAGATCAGAAATCGATTGTGGCAATAATGTTAAATAAAAACAAACGAACGATGAATGTGTAAATCTAGAAGCTCATATTTGTTTAACATGAGACAAAAGGAAAGACTGAATAAAGAGATTTAGGTTTATGATAGGTGTCTGTAACTGTTTATTAATATTCCAATGCGTTATTAGGTGTTTTCTAAGTCTATAGTACTGATCTATACATTGCAAATAAAATGAGAACTTTCACCCAGAAAAATCTCAAAAGATGACTTTACTGTCAATCAACAGGTTGCCTCAAGTCACGTTTGCTTATTTTGACAGAACAAATTGATGAAAAAAACATACAGAAATTAGTCAATTTTCTGAGTGATTAAACCTGCTTTCAAGTTAGGAAATACTAAGTGAGAAATAAGGAATGAGTCAGTCATATTTTGTTTTGAATAACCCTGAAATAACGAGCGTTTCCAGTGGCGCGGTTAGCGCAGGACAGCAGTAACAGCTAAGTAAACAATGATGTCATACGGGCACTATACCTGCTTTGTTTCTGAATGAGATATTTTGAGATTTCAACAACGGCAGTGGCAGAAACCGAAGGCAAATTGCAGAAGCAACATTGAGATGTATAATTATATAAAAGTGGCTGAGACATTTGGCCTTTGTGGATCCCAGTTTTTACATCTGTCAATGTTAATTACAAGTAAACTAATGTTAAGGAGGGATCGGCTCAAAATGTTCACATTCACATTCCGTTGATCAAAAGTTGTGCTCACCAAGACATCCTGGAGATGAAACAGCCGAAGAACTGCTGAGCCAGAGCCTGGGCCAAACAGCGACGGGTCAGAGGGGTCTGGTCAATGATCATTGCACTGTGGAGCAAGTTGGTACTAAAACAAAACACAGAGCGTCAGAAACCATCAGAGAGAACTGTGAGGTGTTCCTTCAGTTTTTCTCATGTAAATATTCTTTCACGCAAATCAAAGGTGTCTCTTTTACCTGAAGATGCTCATGGAGGCATAGGAGGACACTTCCACATAGGCCTCATCCACAAACACTGTTTTGAAGCAAGCATACGGGTAACGACAGGTCAGGATTTCTTCATAAAACTCAAAAATCTCATGAAGGTACGACATGGAGTGTTTGAGCAGAGGCAACAGCTGAGGCAAACAGAAATGGGTCACCTGGAAGAACAAGAAAACACCATTTGATATTCAGATTATTGCTCAACTATTTGTGTATTACATATGTACATACATTTTGTAAAGGCTATATACTATGCAAGTAAAATTGTATATTTAACAATTAAAATATAGTTTAGACATAGTGTGTACTTGGCAGTGCTGTGCGTGAACGAGTTCAAAAGAACGCGTTCATTGAACACGCTCAGTTTTTCGTGAACGTTGAACTGAACGCAACACATTTTTAAAAAAAGAACTTGAACGTGAATTAGTTCATTTTATGTGTCATGAACGGCAGACATCACTATGAACGTTGGAATCTGTTTTCTCTTTTGAAACGCAACGAGAGAAAGTTCCTCCCTCCTGTATTCTCGCACTTTTTCCGCTGAAATCTAAAAATTCCTACGGTTTCCACCGTCTGTGAACGCACCCCGACTCTGTGTTGCAGTGCGGCGCTGTGAGCTGGTGCTTTTCACAGGTGCCCGAGTCGTGATGAAAACACAGGGTGAGTTAGCAACAAAGTTTACACCGTTTACATTTGACATAAAGTATAGACACACGCACTGCAGCGCATTACTGTCTGTAGTTTATGAGCAGAGAGATGGAGCAACTCCGTTTGGCTCCCATTGAAAACCATGTCAATCTTGTCTGTTTTGTAGTCAAAAGGCTCTCCTCCTGTGGGTGTACAAGAGATATATATTATATATATATATATATAAATATTTCTTTCACACTACGAGCTATATATATAAATATATATATATATATATATATATATATATATATATATATATATATATATATATATATATATATATATATATATATATATATATATATATATATATATATATATATATATATATATATATAAATATTTCTTTCACACTACGAGCTATATATATATATATATATATATATATATATATATATATATATATATAAATATTTCTTTCACACTACGAGCTATATATATATATATATATATATATATATATGGATAGCAGCTGGATAGCTCAGTTGGTAGGGCACAGGACTGGGACCTGGGAGGCCAGGGTTCGAATCCCACCGGGAGCACATTAACACCAACATCCAGTGAGGGTCCTTGGGCAAGACCCTTAATGCTACTGCCTAACTCATAACCATGAAGGTACAAATAAGCAATGAGATGCCGGATCAGCCGTCGCCCGGCCAAACAAGGTCTGCGTCAGGTGCTGGGGAACCAGAGCACCTTGATGAAAAGTGGGCTACTGGAACAAGGCGAAAGTGGACGAGATGCAATAACAGGGCTCTGTTGGAATGCTACTACTCGAGTAACCCTGGCCAAAGAGGTTATATGCAGAGAATGTGGGCTGAATGGTTACTTCGAAACCCACCCAGTTGACCCCGAAACCCACCCCGAAACCCACCCAGTTGACCCCGAAACAACTGGTAGCTCAATGCTCCAACATCCACAAACGGCAACTGCTATCACAGCTTGAGATTGATGAAGTACAACACATGTATGATGCCACAGTTGCCGAATCCCAAGACTGCCGGTCACGACACACCAACCTGTGCACAGCCTGGATTGATTACCAGAAAGCCTACGACTCAATGCCACACACATGGATCATGGAATGCTTGAAGTTGTACAATATCAACAGGGCTCTAAGGGACTTCGTTGCAAACTCGATGGGAATGTGGAAGACCACCCTTGAGGCGGTCTTCAAATGGCAACCTCGAACAGGTGACGAGGAAAGCGGCAACTGCCAAATACCTCCAGCGAGTAAGGCAGGTCCTAAGAAGCTGGCTCAATGGCAAGAACAAGGCCCGGGCAATTAACAGCTACGCCCTGCCAGTGATCAGATACCCTGCAGGAATAATCAGGTGGCCAAAGGAAGAGATTCAGACCACGGATGTTAAAACTCGAAAGCTCCTTACCATGCATGGCGGGTTCCATCCCAAATCCAGCACCCTGAGACTGTACGTAAGCCGTAAAGAAGGAGGCCGAGGACTAGTGAGTGTGAGAGCCACTGTCCAGGACGAAACATCCAAACTCCATAACTACATCATGGAGAAGGCCAAAACGGATGACGTACTCAGTGAATGTCTCAGGCAGTGGCGAGATGAGGAGGTGCTGGAGGAGAGCCCATCATGGGAGAACAAGCCCCTACACGGCATGTACCACCGGAGCATAACAGAAATAGCTGATCTCAAGAAGTCCTACCAATGGCTAGAAAGGGCTGGCCTACAGGACAGCACAGAGGCACTCATCATGGCTGCACAGGAGCAGGCCCTGAGCACCAGAGCGATAGAGGCCCAGATATACCACACCAGACAAGACCCAAGGTGTCGGTTGTGCAAAGAGGCACCTGAGACGATCCAACACATAACTGCAGGGTGCAAGATGCTGGCAGGGAAGGCCGACATGGAACGCCATAACCAAGTGGCTGGCATAGTGTACAGAAACATCTGTGCAGAGTATGGGCTGGAAACCCCAAGGACTAAGTGGGAAACTCCTCCAAAGGTGGTGGAGAATGAGCGTGCGAAGATCCTGTGGGACTTCCAGATACCGACCGAATGGTAATGGCGAACCAACCTGACATTGTGGTGGTAGACAAAGGGCAGAGGACAGCCGTGGTGGTGGACGTGGCAATTCCAAGCGATGGTAACATCCGGAAAAAAGAACATGAAAAGCTTGAGAAATACCAAGGTCTCAGAGAGGAGCTGGAGAGGGCCTGGAGGGTAAAGGTGACAGTAGTGCCCGTGGTGATCGGTGCACTCGGGGCAGTGACCCCGAAGCTAGATGAGTGGTTACAGCGGATCCCCGGAACAACCTCGGACATCTCGGTCCAGAAATGTGCAGTGCTAGGAACAGCAAAGATACTGCGCAGAACCCTCAAGCTCCCTGGCCTCTGGTAGAGGACCTGAGCTTAGAGAGGGATAACCGCCCGCGAAGGGCCAAAGGTGAGTGGACAATTTTTTTTTTTTTTTATGTATAATATAGCTTGTAGTGTGAAAAAAATATTTATTGAAGTATCTCACGAAAACAGTAAACTGAAAAAAGTACTGAACTTTGAACTAGTTCAGAATTAAAAATGTGAACTTTGAACATGAACTGTTCACTTTGAGCATGTATGAACTGAACTTGAACTAGTTCAGAAAAGCTGTGAACTGGCACAACACTGGTACTTGGTTTCAAAGCAAAAAAAATTGCAAAATCAAATCAAGATCATTGCAGCCAAACCTTTAGGGCCATCTAGTGGTTAAATATCTGCAGCACCACACACTGGTTTAACAGGCTTGGAAGAAAAGTAAGAAATACCCTTATTACATTTAAAACTTGGTAGAACAGTTAGTATGTGTGTATTTTCCACATTGTGATTACATTACACAAAAATGCTAGACACATTCCATCTGCATTTATCACTCACTTCGTGCATGTAGGGATCAACCAGGATTTCAAAAGGCCCCACAGCCAGGGAGATGTTGGGGGCCGCAGTGGGGATCGGCAGCACGTAATGGAAAGTCTTCTTCCTCATGTCGTGTGTGTAGATAGTCTCCACCAACTCTCCACAGGAAACGGCCACCATCGAAGCATCCACCGTGAACTCCAGCTTCCAGGTGCACAGCTCAGAGTAAGAGTCCACACAGGGAAACCAAAATCTGTGGGGAAAAAGGCAAATGGGTTTCTGCATGGAGAGATGAATAAACTTTATATAACTAGGGGATACTAGTTGTAGAAAATAATAATGCGTTGATTTTAATTCACTGTACATCCTCAACTGCTTTTAGTGCACTGCTTTTAATGCACTCACCACACACCTATACATCCCCATGTTATGAATACTCATTAAATGCCTGATGCACCAGATTCTAAACCATTATTTGTTTTAATAATTTTGAACTGACTGTTTTTAACACTTTTATTTTACTCATCACATCATCGGGCTGCAGGAGGAATAGAACTCTTCTTCACTGCCAGTTTAACTTGATGTTTTAAATGTAGCTTGTGCATTGCTATTCACCCATTTTCCCTTTATCTGGGACACGAAACCCTGGACTTTCTGGACCTAAGAAGTAGTCGTCAACCTGCCCTAGAGAGCTGGCGGTTCTATGACAACTGTGGAAAATTAACCTCACAGAGACGGGACCGTGCCACACCAAAGCTGTCTGGAAGTTTATTCAGTTTCCTTCAGGTTTCAGTTTTTTAAGACAGAACAAAGTCATGACATGGTTTATATAGTCATTGTTACATCACAGATACGTCACACATAGGAAGGCAAACGTGTCGCATCAAGAGACAATCAGAACATATTAGAGTCATAACATGGATACACAATGGCGTCCTTGTGACTGTGAGGGCCAGATATTGTGTGTTGCATTTGTCCACCTGCGTAGCCTATAGCTATCTATCCACCATACAACCCTTGAGACTTCTGTTGTAGTCATATCAGGCGATAAAAATGAAATTGAATTGATATTATTTGGATTTATTTGTACATTGATTTGAATAGTGTGCCCAAACCCAAATGATAGAAAATTGAAAGGTACCTGGTGGAGTTCTGGTATCCAAATGAAAACACATGCGCTGCCCTCTCTGCCATGTTGCCCTCCACATCAGGAACTACGAAGTGAAGTCCTCCTTTCGGCTGATCCAGGGAGAACTCGATGTAGACTTTTAAAACTTTTAAATCTGGACAAATCAATATACAAAGTCAAGTTACACATTGCTTTTCAAATAGTCCAGCAAATCATAGAGAAATGAATGCATGTTAGACAGGTCGGATCTTATTGATGATCTATTGGATTGGATACTGTATATTTTTACCATGGGTTTATCTACTCTGTCCCAGTCCACATTGTATCTGCTTTGTATTTGTAAAACTGAATAAATAATGACTAAAACAATGTAATTGAAAAGCTGTGGATTGAAATATGCCCGTTATGCACTGATGTAAAACTTGAATCTATACCAGATTTACTATAATTTAATGTGTAGTCTCATCTAAGGCAATTCAAATATTCTCAACACTATTATTGGCCACAACATCAAAAAGTTAAGTCCTTCACAGACCATCACTGCATTGTTCACTGACCATCTCCTTGTTTCCAGAGCTCTGAAGGCACTTTGATGACCAGCTCCCCATGTCCAGCATCAGGATCCACTGCGCTCACTGCTGCCGTGTACGCGCTAGAGAAGTAATTGAGGTTTCTCCTTCAAAAACAAACACACAGAGAGACATTATGTTATCAATAGGGCGTTCAATAGTAATAGGGTTGACGTACAAAAGAACATGCAAACTCACTGCTTGGACTCATGGTGACAGACTTCAAGCGTGGGGTCATTATAAATAAAAGGAGCCTCCAAGTCATTGACTCGAACTCTGTAGATGCGGCACTGTTTGCTGTTGAGTTTAATCCGGTTGAGATTGACCACTGTTGGAAAGATGGTCAGCTCTACAAAGCCCTACAATACAGGCAACAACACATTTAAAAGAAAAAAAATAGACAGCAGATACAAGGTATAAACGATACCTCTAGATTAAACACACATAAAAGAAATAGCAAATTGGCATGGACGCAGGGGATATGAAAGTATTAAGAGCTCTGTCAATACATCAGGTCAATATGTCAATTATATCAACTATTTCATGATGACACTCTAGTTTGATCTTGTGGAATACGTTGTAGAGTTACGTTAAAAACACTTTTGTTGTACTCACAATGACAGATTTCTTCTGGAAGTTGATGTTGTTGATGCACACCACCTGATGAGTCGTATAAAAAATATAATATATTGTTACATCACTTATTTATGACAACATTCTATAATATTCAAACTATTTTAATGTATATAAATCATGTTTAATGCTTCGAACCTTAAAACACAAAGAAACATTACAGTGCAAAATATGCATCAAATGTAGGGTCATCAAATGTAGTATTTATTCATATCACACACGAACATAATATACAAAAGATACAAAAGGTACTTATAATTTAAAGGGACGAGGGCTCTCAAATCCTTTATCCTTTTTTCTGTTCATTTTCTCCGATGTTTTGATTGAAGTTTCACACAGCCATTCTTCTTCAAAAATCTACAGCATCTTTCCGAAAAGAAAAATCAAAATCAAAATATCTTTATCCCAGCATCAGACAAATCAAAATGCAGACACTAAAATACGCGTTTAAAACTCGTAATTCAGAATGCAGCCAATGCAAAAACAGCACTGATAAACTCGCCAGACTAATCAGAACATGGTTCTGCAGATGAAAGATCCCATAGAGCACTCGTGTGCAGTAGGAGAGGACCAAGCATTGAAGAAGCCCGTTGTTTTCGGCTCATAAAGGTGTAATTTTAATGTTTATTATCAGTAAATGTCTGCTGCTCAGAGCGCCTCAGCCGCGGAGGGACGCGCCATTTTGGTTGTAACCTTTGACCCCCCGCGTAAAAACAACATTCATTAAGATGCATTTTTTTCCAGATATAAAACTATATTATTATCGCTGAAATATAGAAGCATGTGGGAAAGTGTGGAAACCCGAAACAAAAGCCTGACATATGATTGTGCCATTTCTGTGCAATTGTATTATTTGACGAGACTGCCCCCTAACGACTCGGGTGAGACACGGCATCCAAATTTTAGGAAAGAACCGACCTCTCCACTTTTTGTGTGATACAATTCGGCAAGTAACTAATGCATATGGTATTAGTACAAGTACCTGACAGTATTTTAATTTTATAAAGTAATGTATTACACTAATTAGTTACTGAAAAAGTAATCTGTTTTCAGTAACTAATTACACCCAAACGTACAGGTGAGTGTTACTTACTTACTCAATGCAACATAAATAAGAAGTAGAAATAGGCTGAATAGATCATAGACACTATTTATACATAATATAATAATATAACATTATATCTATGTAGTCTTGAGCAACAGTAAGGAAATGCAATGCAGCAACACAGGAAATAGTTATCAAAAATTATGATGACGAGAACCTATTCAACTAATTAACTTCTGAGCAGGCCTAGAGCTGCAGTACTAAACACACATACACAGCTTGTATTGGCTTTTTGGGGCAAAAGTCCAAAACCTAGCATTTGGTTATTTCATCAGAGCACCTTTGCACCTGTGAACCCCTGATGGGATGATAAGTTCAGTAAAGTTTATTAGTCGGCCCCCATGGTCAGCCCGTTTGGCAATGGCCCAGGAAATATTTGACCGATTGACCTGTACAGGAGCATATAAGGATCTGGGGAGCAAAAGAGGGGCACAGTACTCCTGACTGTGGGAACTGTCGGATCAAGAAACAACCAAATAAGGTAAAACTTTTTAATCTCATTTGTTTTAGTTTTTGTTCTACTATGTCCACTAATACTTTGTATACTTTCTTACCAAAAGCCATTCCTTTGCAACCAATTCTTAGGGTTCAAACTGGGATATGCCTGAAGGGGAGCCATAATAATAAAATTATATTGCAAGCTCATTTTAACAGTTGTCATTATGCATTCAGTGGCGATCCAATCATGGCTCATTCAGACATCCACCTACATGATTCTATTTTGGTCAATTTCAAGTAAAGTCGTCTGTATTTTGGAAGGCATGTCTGCACATTTGCAGAATGGGACAAGGGCCGCAAAACTGTCGATGTAAAATCTTTGGAAATTGAGGATGCAGCCTTCAATTCAGCATTCAACATACACCGTACTGTCATTGGTTATGATACAATATTGCACATTAAGGTGAGTGGCATATGCAGAGTCAACAGTGTTCATTGTACAGGCTTACAGCAACAGAGGAGGTGGTCCAGCATGGATGTGAGTCTATTTCATCGTTCTATAGCTTGTGTATGTGCACAAGGACAAAACCAGGATTTATTGTGCTCTTATTTCCTTCTTTCTCTGCTGTAATGTGTGCAACGATGACACTGAAATTTCTCCACTGTGAGACGAATAAATTAAGGATCTTATCTTCTCTTATCTGTGTTTAAATGAATGTGGCAGATTTGTGAGTAAGCATCTAAAACGTGTCATCATATTTATTTAACAGCTTTTGACAGATGTTTTACAACATTTATTGCTTGATAATTAAGCAATAAAAGTGGGAAAAAACGATTTTAGTCTGTTGAGGTGTCATGTTTGAGTTTAATGTTTTCTTATACGACTTGTATGCCTCTAGATGGCGCTCCTCTGTGCGGCCGCCCTACTGTGTGTCCTCTGTTCCATGGATGCGCTCCAGTACTCAGAGCTGGCTCAGTACATAGACAGCCACCAGGAAGAATATGTTGAGGTAAAGTACCGTTAAAAGTTTTCTGGTCTTGCTTCAACTGTTTTCTTGAAATCATTTAGTTTTGCTGTTGGATAATTGGATTCAGATTCAGTTTATTTGCCTTCTGCAGTAAAACCACATTGAAATTACTGTGAAAGAGTCAGAGTGTACCAGGATAGTACACACCAGAGCTCTTGCCAATTAGCAATTTGTTATCAATTTAAGTGACTCCAGGGATTACAGGCACAGGGGATTAAAATTTCATACAGGATGTGAGCAGCAGTAACCATAACACAAAGTTACTTATTTCTCATTTTTGCTTTGACGTTTAAAGCTGGGGTACCTACATTTCAAACCACAACAAAATTAAATATGCAATAAACCAAACCTAAAACATGTGATAAAACCAAAGATATAAAAACATGGTTGAATCACTAGTTTTCACACACATGTATTTTTTGGCCTCTGTCACATCAGATCAGATTTTTCAGACAGAAAAGTGAAAAAGAGGACTTCCCAAAATTAGCCTAAATAATCAAATAGTAACTCACAGGACTCTAGAAGTATGCAAAGATGTGTTTTAATAATGTGAAGTCAGCATGTTGTTGTCTGATTTGGTCACACCACAATTGTATATATATTTTTCTGTTGGGAAAAACAATAATGAAAAGAAAAGTTATGTCCCCCATCTTCAAAGGTCAGAGTAAAAAATGCTCATATATAATGCTAATAACAATAAAAACTACTTATTATTATTTATATCATTTACTTTTACTAACCATCCTTCGCCTCAACACAAAGAGTCTTCAGAAGTCTATAGTTTTTTTTAGGCCAAGTCTGGTATTTTATTATTTTTATTACAATGTAATAGTTTTTACTTCATAGATAATGTTTTACTTTTATATTTTTTAAACAGATAAAGCTGACAAACTTGTATATTTAAATGTGTTTTATCTCTGTGCAACACTTTGAAAACTTGCTCTATAAAATTCAATAAATGCCTGTAATACATCAGCTAGTGATGTTTATTCAAGAATACTTCATTTCACAATACAAATAGATACACATGTAACAAAGCTTATGCAAAACCTACCACAAGAGGGCAATGTTGATCTACCCTCTTTAAAAGCAGTATTAGAGCTAAAATTGAGTTTAATTCAGAGATACATCTTGAAAATCAACTTGTATTCAGGCAAGTCTTCACACCCCTCGTTTTTAAACATGTTTTATTTTTGTTTATTTTTTTTCAGGCTTTACGGGACTGGGTTGCCATTGAGAGCGACTCCAGCAACATCTTAAAAAGGCCCGATCTGCACCGTATGATGGATGTAACTGCAGAAAAACTGAGGAGGATGGGAGGCGACGTGGTGATGGTGGACATCGGTGAACAAGAAGTCAGTCTCTTTTCCTTGCTGGTTTAATAATAAAACTCCCAGAGCAGTCAATTTGACGGCTTTTTGTTTTGGAAGTGTAATTTCTGACTTTTTCTGTTTCTATATATAGTTTACCTCTATGTTTTCATATTTATGAATTTAACTTGGTCCTAGATGTGTTCTAGACTGGTCCTAGACTGTTCCTTGACTGGTCCTGGACTGGTTCTGTGCAATATAGCTTGGAAGAACTGTTAGTTACCATAGCAACACTCTGTTTATCTACAGCAGTTAGCATTTCGTTTTGCTGTATGTCAGGTATATTAACCAGTATTAGCATGCATTAAAGATAAAACCCCCGAAAGAATTACTTAAATTGATCTAATACTTTTTGGGGGATTTTTTTCAGTTGATTGGGAGCCGTCAAAATGACTGCTGTGGGAGTTCTAGATAGTTTCAGAATTTGGGGAGTCCAAGTGTTAATTAGAACATAGAGTAGAACAAGGTAAACATGCACAGGCAGGATAGCAGCACTTCAAAAAGCTGGCAGAGGCAGCGAGATGAAATCAGGTTCCTCATTATGGACCCACATCAAAGCCATTTCCAAAATCATTAGACATATGTGTGTTTTGAGGTCAAAGAACGTGGCATCTCTGCAGTTTCACAGCGGTAATTACTGGGAACAATAAAACACACTCAGATGACACAAAGGTAAAAACATTCACATTGGGTTAGGGTTTTTATTAAATGTAGTGTTGCAAAGGCTTGTTTTTCCTCCATTGTCAAAATTATTATGCTCAGAAGGCACATTTTACATATGTGCTCTTTCTTTTCATGTACAAGATTCATTTTCTTATTGCCATTATATTTTAACCTTTGTTTATCTGTGTATTCCAGATAGTATAGTGAAAATGTGAATATGTTTCTTGATCGTGGACGTTTTGCAGAGCACAAATACCAAATAAATGCCATTAAGGGAATGTCAGTTACCTGTATAATTGAGAAAAGAGAAATAAAGATACAGTAAGTGCAAGTTAGACCCGCTCATGCCCCTCACTGCTCCCTCTTTGGACAAAATGAATCAAAATCATGTCATTGGTCGGTCATGGTTTTACCAAGGAGAGGGACTTGAAATGTATGGAGGTGCAGTGGTTAGCGCTTGAGCTGCAGCAAGAAGGTCCTCAATTTCTCCTCCAGACCTTTCTTTGTGTAGTTTGCATGTTCACCCTGTGTTTGTGTGGGTTTCCTCCAGGAGCTCCAGTTTCCCCTAATACTAAAAACATGTACAATAGTAAGTAAGTAGACTACTACAATAGTCCCCCATAACACCCTCCCCAACCTACTCCTGCCCCCTCTCTGTGGGGCCAGAACTTCCCTGAAAAACAGATGGTTAAATAATAATACAAAACAATACATTTACATCTAGACAATGGGGTCATATGGTAAAAACTTTAGAATATTTTCAACATGAAATACAGTTGTGTTGTTAGTTGTTGCTGTCATCATGAGTTAGCTGGTGTGACTTATGGTTTTCCGCAGCTTCCTGGTGGTCAGATGTTGGCCCTGCCTAAAGTGGTGACGGCTCATTTTGGGAACGATTCTCAAAAACACACAGTTTGTGTCTATGGACATGTGGACGTCCAGCCAGCCAAACTGGAGGACGGCTGGAGGACGGAGCCTTACAACCTCACAGAGATTGACGGTAATAACCCTCACCTGAACAACACATATCCCGTTTATCTCGGTTGATCTCTTTATATTGTTTATTTTATTGTCTATTTGTGTTGAAACGTTTGAAGCAGGGCCTGACATACCACATACAGCTGATTCATGTTTGTGGCCCACTCTGTTTAGCCTCCATTTTAATGAATCAAAGTCATTGTCTAATGTTATTGCTCATTTTCAAGAAAACAACAAACATAACAACCTTTTATTATGCCCTGAACAATTAAATGAACACTTGATTATCAAAAACATGAATCTGTCTACAATACTCTGCAGCCTTCTTTAGTTTTGCTCCAGTTTTGATTCAATCCAAGCAAAAGTGTACTGATTCATAACAGAAAAGTATATCATATCTAAACCCATATTCAACAACATAATAATTTGATCAGTTCTCTGTTATTAGAATTTAGAAATTGTGTTTGGACAAATGTAATCCGTTTATAACAGGATGAAAATGCACAATAAATTTAATCTGCTATCGGAAAATCAACAATATTGTTAAGTCCTTCGAGATGACTGCAGTTGTGATTTTGAGCTCTATAAATGAACAAAGTCAGTGGTTAAATGTTTGAGTAGCACAAATCTGACCCATGTCTATCTTTCGTCTTTCTCTGCTCCCTGACTCGACAGAGATGAACACCACTGTAGATTTATGGTTGTCGTATTTTATATCACAGTTCACATTTTTAAATGTCATGTATAAAAGTGTGAGCCTTTGCAGAGATATGGCCACTAAAATATGGCTTAATCTCAATACCACCATAACTCTAAACCTCTCTGACATTATCCCAAAGGACATTATAGCACTGGGAAAGAAAATGTGGTGAAAATCGTTGGCATTTGAATCTAAAATATCACCGTGAAATATAGATTATAGACAAGCACTTTGTGGATATCACCAAAACCTACATAGATTTGGGCAGAATACTTGTCTATTGTATGTTATAAAACACTGAAGACCTGCCTTAACATTTTACCATTTGCATTAGTATTTTGGGGTTTAATCGTGGTCCAATTATTCTGAATATTTGCATAATATTACAGTCTAGACAATGGAACTATTTTTAATGTCTGTTTTATTCTTAATCAGAGCTGTTTTGCTACATATCTTGTCATTCAAACTACTTGGAATTAAATTAAAATTATTGGTCAACTAACACACAATTTGGTCAACACAGGAACGATCAACCAATTTAAGATTGAAAGCCCTAATGTTTGTATTACTTTTAGTGAAATATCATTATTATTGCATGATCAAATTTTACCACCAAAAGAAAGTAGTGACATATTTTGAATACAATTATGATTACAATACTGTGGAAAAACTTAAATAATTTGCTCCAGCTATGTCCACATATAAGACAATTCAGGAAAAGACTCAAAAACAATATTTTTGAACGTTATAAAAATGCAGGAAAATGACTTTTGTGTTTATTTATGATGCTAACCAAATTAAATATAAAGCACTTGTATTCCTTACGTTCCTGAGCTGGGATTGACAAGCACTGCCCCGTATTGTTTTGTCGTGTTTGTGTTTCTGGAAAAGGTTGTAATGTTAATAATTTAGCATGTTCTGTTTCTCCTTGAAGGTAATCTGTATGGAAGAGGAGCCTCGGACAACAAAGCTCCTGTTTTAGCCTGGATCCATGCTGTGGAGGCCTACCAGGCCCTCAACATGGTACTCCCTGCAACTACCATACAACAACTACCATACAACAACTACCATACAACAACTACCATACAACAACTACCATACAACAACTACCATACAACAACTACCATACAACAACTACCATACAACAACTACCATACAACAACTAGCATACAACACTAGCATAAAACAGGGTCGGCACTAGATCATATACGGAATCGGGACGAAACCGGAAGTAACAATCCTACTTTCAAATACATTTTAGACTAATTAGTCCTTAAAGGGTGACTGGTTAAGTTTTAGGTGTTTAAGCAAGATGGTTAAGTGTAGGGTTAAGGGTGGATTGGGGTTATTTTATGGGAATGGCTGGTTAGGTTTAGGCATTAATAGGTAGTTTGTTATTTTTACTTCCGCTTCCGTCCCGATTCCGTATATGATCTATTGCTGACCCATACAACAGCCACTAGCGTACGACGGCCACTAGCATACGACGGCTACTAGCATACAACAGTCACTAGCATACAACAATGACTACATACAAAAGCTAATAGCATACAACTACAAAACATACAACAATAACAACATACAACGTGTGCCTGAAAGCTCTTTTAGGCCATATTTGGAGATTATTAATGATAATACAACTGTTGTTTGACGATTCTGGAGAAGCCATGTATTGTCAAACAATATGTTTTCTATTTTAAAAATCAAAATTATATTTGATCACCATTGTAATCAAATATAATTCACGAACTAGAAATGTTATTGGCTCATGGTGCAAACAAGTTATAAAAAAGTAGAAATAGATTAAAAAGTTTTCATCCATAAACCTTCAGACACATCTGTATATAAACCAGTGTCATACATTTTGGATCTGCCTTTGTTAAAAATGACCACATAGTCTTCTGTTTCCAGGAATTACCGGTGAATGTGAAGTTTGTGATTGAGGGCATGGAGGAGACAGGCTCAAATGGTTTGGACGCCATGATTCTTGCTCAGAGAGACACTTTTTTCAGCGACGTGGACTTCATCGTTATTTCCGACTGCGGATGGCTCAGCAAAAGACCAGCACTCACATACGGCACCAGGGGGAACTGCTACTTCTTTGCTGAGGTGAGAATGGACAGTGAATAAAACATGTTTGTCTGGTTCATTGATTATGCCCATGTTTGTTAAAGGTGGAGGGACCAACACAGGACCTGCACTCTGGAGTCTATGGAGGCACAGTTATCGAGCCAATGACGGACCTTATTGGTATTTTAGGTGAGAACGACTGAATTATTTATTGTTTTCATACAGACCTCTCCAGTAAGTCTCTTTCTGGAACTCACTCTCACAACCAATCAAGAACTTCAAATCACTTCAGAACTTCAAATCACTTCACAAAAATCCACCTGTTCAAAACGGCCTTCACTTAAAGTAGCAATATGTAAGATTTTCATGTTAATTCATCTTTAAATGGGCCTAATATGTCAAAAGGTATTACTAAACCATGCTTTTTTCAAATACTTCCTTAAATGATAACAGCAGTTCAACAGAGATAATTGAGTTTGGATTTACAGCTCCTTAAATCTTGTTATTGTTTTCATTTCGATGTCCCGCCCTCCACCATTTTGCCAATCAGAAAGTCTGTGATCCGGTTGCCAAAACTCACCGTGTAGAGCTAATCTCACTGGTAAAGTGTGGCCGCAGTACTATAAAAGGTCTAGTTATAATTCTCAAATCATTAATGACAGAACAAGGATTTCTATCGGGGATGCCATTGTGAAAAAGGTGTGGCTCTAGATTTGTTGTTGACAAAACTCTTCAGCTATTATTATGCATACCTTGCTACCTGAGTCAGGGAGAGTGGGAGAGGTTGCAGTACCACTTTTGGCCAGATTTGTACATGGTGCTGTTAATTTTTAGCATTTTTTTTATTTTTTCTTATTTGTTCTTCTATAAAGCGTCTTTGAGTGTCCAGAAAAGCACTATATAAGTAGAATGTATGTAGTTATTATTAAAGTGAAAGGTATTGGTAGAAATTAACATTGGAAGCTGTACTTCTCTAAAGTTGGCTGTAGTCAAACTCAGCCGCCAGACAATAGAAGCATAAGTGCTAACCCAGATCAACAACAAGGACACTGCAGTCTTTTGTCGTAATATAATGTTGTAGAACAAAACTAAGCACAACTTGCTTATTTTGTTACCAGAAAAATCCCATTGAGATTCAAATATGTTTTTTTCCAAAAGTGTCCGGGCCAAGAGGCATTGACAATACTACCCTCAATACGTCATGTAAAACACACAGAAAAGATGGCAAAGACCTTCATCAATCAGAAAAAAACAGAAAAATATGGTTGTAGGAGTTTTATTTCAACACATATGAAATATACAGTACAAACAGGTCTGAAACAATTACAATACAATAAATGACAATGTTATTTTTTGTATGGATATTGTGGGAGAATCATACAACAAATATACATGTCTACAAGGTAATTACATCTCAACCAGTAGCAGTAAAAAATATTCATTTTCATCCTATTCTAATATTTTTCCCAACCTCTCCTGTTATAGAGTGACATGTGTTTATTTAATCTCCTGCGTTAAATTCACCCTCCCTTTTACAATTACCCCACATTTTCACTCTTCTTTCCCTCTCACAACTTGGCCTGAACGTGTTGAATTACAGACTATACACAAAATTGTCCTGAAAGATAACCAACCAAAAACGCTCTCCTTTCAAAACCCCGATTTCATTTCTCCTGCTCCTCAAACTTGGCACAGAAAGCACCACAGCCCTCTCTGCTTCCTAACATAATCTGATGCGTGGCAGGGAGTCGGAACCACTCGGAAAAAGCAGAGGAATTAAATGAACACATATAAAACTAACACACTTACCAAACTCTTTAATAATCCCTAATCCCTTCAGCTCCTCTCGGCGTAGGTGGGGGTCTTATCCCAAAAACTATGCCCTCCTTCGCTTCAAGTTAATTTTGGAAACCTAATCTTCTAAATCAAACAAATCTTAATCTTAGGTTAATTATGCAGAGTACAAAAAAGTGAACTGTTTCTACTGACTTCCTGCTGCAGACACTTTGATCACCCCCAGTGGTAAAATCCTCATCCCAGGGATAAGGGAGGCAGTGGCCCCTCTCACGGACGAGGAGTGGAAAATGTACCAGGATATTGACTTTGACTTTGACTACTACAAGAGCAAGATAGGAGTCGCTCAGCTCATGTACAACAATAAGGTGAGTCTGGGGTAATTAGCATTTTGTTTGCACTTGTAAACAGTTGCCTTCTGTGATAGAATGTGTAGAATCGTATTTATAGTAGTTGTAACATGTTTGTTATTGGTTCTTGTGGAGCACCTGCAGCCCATGGTAAATCTTAGATATACCCACCTCATTTTTGTATTGGAAAAAGAAAAAACCACGTGTGACCTTGGTCTGCAAAATCCTCCATTTCAAAGACAAGTAGTATTGATGTATCACTAACTAATATTATTTTACTGTTTTGTCGTAGGTGGATCTGTTGGCACACAGATGGCGCCACCCGACAGTCACCATCCACGGGATCGAAGGGGCTTTTTCTGACCCCGGTACAAAAACAGTCATCCCCGCCAAAGTCACAGGGAAATTTTCTATCAGACAAGTCCCTGACATGGATCCTGCGATGGTCAAGAAACAGGTTTTTTTTTTTTTCATTTAACTCAATGATTGTATTTAAAGATAGAGAAAGTGAAACATCAGTGATAGAACTGTACGAATAGAGGTTCTGCTGCTCTGTGTAGCATTGGGCTTTAGAACAGCTTTCAACAATAGAAAATAGGGCAACAGTAGCTCAGTTGTTAGAGCATCGGCCTTTGAGCCAGAAAGTCGTGGGTTCGAGTCCACCTCAAGACTTTCACCATTGACTCCCACTGTCGTTGTGTCCTTGGCAAGACACTTAACCTCTGGGAACAGCAGCCACAGTGGGGCGGCTGCGGCTGTAAAGTGCTAAACTTCCGTTGTGTCCTTAGGCAAGACACTTCCCTCCCATTGCTTAGAATGAGTCTGGTGTGTGTGAATGGTTGGTGGTGGTCGGAGGGGCCATACTGGTTGCCTCTCCTCTCTCAGTGTGCCCCAGGGCAGCTGTGGCTACAGTAGTAGTTTATCACCCCCGTGTGTGGAGTGAATGAATAATGACACATGTGAAGCATCTTTGAGTGTCCAAAAAAGCGCTCTATAAAACTGATGCATTATTATTATTGTGTTTGTTTGAGAGATATCAAAATAGTGGTACCTATATTTTTTTAAATCAAATAATAGCTTTTGCTTGTCACAGTAAAACAAACCAGACCACAACATGCTGTTTTCATCTTATTAGAAAATGTAAAACTTTTAATAAAGAGCCATTAGTCACTATTTCACGCATTGGGCTGAGAGCTGATTGGCTGAGTGAAGGTGGTCTTCGCTTTTTCACTTTTCTGTCTGAAAAAGCTGATCTAAAGCTGTGATAGAGGCCAGAAATACATGCACGTGAATTTTAATCACAAAGTTTCATTATTTGTGGCTTGAGAGTTAGATACCCCAGCTTAAATTCTTTCCTTTTCCCAATCATTGTGGGAAAGATTTATCCAACATGTTTGAGTAAGAGAGCAAAAAATATGCATCTGCTGCTATTTTACATCAGCACTTTCTGTTGTTGTTGACATTTAAAGTCGCTGTCAAAAATTACAGGCATTAAATGCTGACTTTTTTCTTTTATAAGTGATAATAATGAATAACATCATCTTACGTGAGGTTCCTAGACACATTAGTCCCATATGAACCAACTAGGACTCTGAGGTACCCAGAGTCAGAACTAAACATGGGGAGACTGCATTTCATATTTATGCATTTAGAATCTGGAACAGTCTGGATGACAATGTGACAAATCCAGGTTAAATCCAGGTTAAAAACAGTTCTCTTTCACAACTAAAGTAATGTATATTCACTCTTTTTAATGTAACGTGATTATTTGTGTTACCTCGTGTATGAACTGTGCTATACATATAAACTTCCCTTGTAGGTGACAGACTACCTCCAGTCCGTGTTTGCCAAGAGGAAGAGCCCTAACAAGCTGAAGGTGACCATGGTGATCGGAGCTAAACCTTGGCTCGCTGACACCAAACACTCTCTGTATGATGCAGGGAAGGCTGCTGTCAAAAGAGGTATCGTCACCTTCTCTTTATGAATCCATTTGATTAAAAATATCAAAGATGTTTCGCACAAGGTCAGAGCTTCAGAAAAAGTCGATATTATGCCTCAAATCCAAGGCCATGTTGCGCGGTCTGTACTTATTTACAGGTTTTGCATCAAAACACCCATACTGCTGCATATCCTCAACCCCCTCTCCAAAGCTTTCGTGTATTCCACTCAATACACGGTCAGGGCCGCAGTGGTTTTTTTTTTTAGGTTTACTGATATATTAAGATCTGTTGTATTTTTTTCTATTCATTTTTGTGGCTGTTGTTGTTGCATTATGTAGGTATTATTTATTTTATACAGCCCCTAAAGAATTTTTGTTATGAGAGAAAATTCCCATATTAGCCTCTTACTGTTCTAAGTTCAATCACGGACCCCTGTAATGTGGCTCCATCTGCATGTGAAAAGCAGATCCCATCAAACCTCTGAGGCGAAGCAGGGCAGGTCTTGGTTAATACTGTGATGGGAGACCATGGGAACACACTGTCTGCAGCTGTAAACTGCTGTTGTGTCTTGCGCAAGACACCTCACACACATTACCTAATATGAGCCTAGTGTGTGTGTGTGTGTGTGTGCGTGTGTGACCCAGGGCAGCTGTGGCTACAATAATAGTTTATTACCACTGGGAACAGAGTGAATGCATATAGACATGTGAAGCCTCTTTGAGTGTCCAAAAAAAGTGCGTACCCCTGGTTGGGAAACACTGCTATGTGCCACACCTTTCAACGTCATGATTTTTTTTGGGTATGACATGTCAAATTTAGCCATCTTGTTATAACAGTGTGGCCTTGTCCTGACTGTCCCCAAAATGTAATATAGATAGATTGCTGAATGTTTGAGTGATAATGTATTTTCCTGCATTCCCCACTCCTATTTCAGTATGGAGGGAGAGGGCGCCAGTCCCACAAGCGTCACGGCGACGAATTGGCAGCCCGATTTGACCAGGATTACGTATATAAAAGCTCATTTATATGATAAAGTGCGTCCCTAGTGGTCACCTCCGGGACATGCACCCTCTATGTAGAGTAGTATTTTGCTCGTGCAGATGTAAAGATTTGATTTAGCAACTTTGGTGAAGATCGGAAAAGTTTAGGTCAGAAGCCTTCCATAGGTGGCGCCGTAGAGTCATATTAGGTGTGTGTTTTCACACCATTACTCTCAGGCCATTACCAACTGTTAGCGATGTGAGTTTCAGCTCTGTAGGTCTGAGTCTGTGGTCAGGAGAGCATCAAACATGGAGAAATTCCCCACTACCTCGCATGAAAACGATAACAAACTTCTAACTTTTATGCGATGATTGCATAACTTCAATCCGTCCAGATGGAGAAATGACATGGTAGAAGTCTGTGCGATGAAAACCCAGGGACTAGTTCGAATTTATAAATGAAAAGTCAAATTAGTGGCAAAACTTCGGCCCCTCATGGCCGACTTCCTGTTGGTCCCAGACATGTGCTTAGACCGGCTTTTATGCTCGTCTCATAGAGATCTATCACTCATCCGAATTTCGTGTACCTACCTAAAAAATTTCTAGGGGGCGTTATAGAGTCGGCAAGCGTCGGACAATCTGGAAACGTTCATTTTATCAAATGTTTCGCCGAACCGGTCGTTTTAGACCCCCCATGTGCAGACTTTCGTGCATGTCTTCAGGGTAAAAAATCAAATTGAAGTTGCGGAAAAAAAATAATAAGTATTATAATATGAAACCGGTGAATAACAATAGGCTAACTAATAATTCTCTAACAACACTTCATGTCCCTGTGGAATACCCTTCATAACAACTATTCACCTAAATTGTCTCGTGTGCAGTGTTTGGAGTGGACCCAGACCTGATCCGTGAGGGCGGGACCATCCCCATCGCTCGCACGTTCCAGGACGTGACGGGGAAGAGCATCATCATGTTGCCCATTGGAGGCTTCGACGACGGCCTGCACTCCCAGAACGAGAAGATGAGCAGGTTCCACACGTTATCATATTCACTAGATACTCAGAGAGGTTCATAAGACAGCCTCAAATGTAGATTTTCATTCAAGCTGGGGTACCTAACATTCAAATCCCCCATAAAATGTTCAATGTAATGTTTATTTTACATTACATAAAGACTAAACTAGCGAGGATTCCAGTTTGTTCCTTCTAACTGGTTCCTCGCTCTCAAAACAGTTTGGTTCAATCACTGTGGCAATTTTCACATTCATGTATCTTTGGCCTCTGCTTTTCTCAGACAGAAAAAATGCTAAACAGAGGACCACCATTAGCCAATCAGATTTCAGCACTAAAGCATCAAATACTCACTCACAGGGCTCTCTGTTTTGTAATATATGGTTTGAGCATTTTACTATTGCAAAACTCTTTTTCAAATAAAATTCCTGAAAAAAAGATAGGTACCCCAGCTTTAACTGCCAATACTTGCCACCATCAGTAATTTCAAATTTAGTTCTTATCTCACTTATTTTCTCCTGAGCGTACCCCATATGTAGAAGAAAATAGTTCATAAATCATACAATGCAATGTGGCCATTTATTTTAATTATTGATTTATTTGATAGCCACAAGTGCACACAATCAACACGTGAAACACTACATTTATAGCCAAGGCTGATTTGCCATGTCCCGTTCTGTTTTTATTCCTAGATACAACTATATCGAGGGAACCAAGTTATTCATTGCCTATCTACACGAAGTGGCCCAAATCAAAAAGAGTGTGTGATGCTTCTTTTCAACTTTCCAACATCAGTCCACGTCTGCTACAGATTCTAAACCTGCTGTTTTTTTCTATTTAGCCAACATTACACTTTTCTAATGTGCATTAAATACTCAAATATGCAACCACACTGTCTGTCTGTTATGTGTTTTTGGTTTAGACTTAGACTTGGAAAGACTTTATTGATCCACAAGGGAAATTGCGTAAAATTTCACAATAAAAATAACATTAAAATAACATCTGAAGAGAAGAATATCCATCCATCCATTTTCTTCCCCTTAATCCATTTCTGGGTCGGGGGGTGGCAGTCAGTCCACAGGGGCCTTGATCTTTCAGCTGGGGCTTCAGGCAAAGTGGGGTTAAGTTTCTTGCTCAAGGACACAACGACAGCAGTCATCAGTGGTGGGAGTCGTGAAGTTGTTCTCGTGGTGGATTTGAACCTACGACCATCAGGCCCAAAGGCTGATCGGTCGTAGCTCTACCAACTGGGGGTCTACAACCTATAGCTTGGTAGCCACTAGTAGCTCGCCAGCCCCTTTCAGGTAGCTCGCCAAAGGAATTAGAACTTAACAAATGATCTTGAATGAATACTTTTTGAGCCATTATACATCTATAAGTACAGATATAGGGTTATACAGTATTATGGTGTGTGTGTTCTCCGTGTTCGGTCATAATTATTAGATAGATTTTTTACGACTGCAAAAAGGAGTAGCTCTCTGCCTCTTCATTTGTATTAAAGTAGCTCTCTGATTGAAAAAGGTTGGAGACCCCTGATGTAAAGTGACAGAGACAGAGTACAATAATAAAAATAAGAGATAATAACTGACCAGAGACAAACAAAGCATTTTCAAAACCAACTTTATTCAAGAAATGCAAATCATGAACCCGGATGTAATCGATTTTTTTCAGTTCTAGCAGACTGTGAAAGTGAATTAGGAGATTTAGAGTTGAATAGGAAAAAGCAGATTGAAGGCAGATTGATGAAGTCTCCTGTGTGTGAGCAGTGCTTGGTGTGGAGAGACCCTGGTGTTATGAAGAAGCCGTGTGTGAATGTGCAGCGGCCTGATTCACAACACCAGCTGGCCCTCCTCACCTGATCCACACACATTTGTAAAACTCCTGCTGAATGCTGTACTACGCATATACACTATACTTACGATACTTATAGGCAAAAAGTCTGAAATGTCCAAAGTTGGTGCTGGTCAACCTCCGCCGGGAACATACCATTTTAAAGTTAAATTACAAAGCTATTTTGTCTATTTAGAGTTTAATGCAAGGGTGATCAACTGGGTCATCAAAGGGCAGAATAGGTGCAGGTTATTGTTCTATATTTTTATTTTATATTGATTATTTATTTATTTTTAATTTCACAAGGGAGTTTTTCTAACAGTTGAAAAGTTGCCTCCTCAAAAGAGATTTGGGGACTTTTATTGTTTTATGTTGTCTGTTTCTAGTGTGTTGTGTCTTGTGGATTTTTGTTCTGGACTACGAGCCTGTAATAAATCTATCTATCTATCTATCTATCTAGCTAATCAAGCCGGGGCACACCAGACTCCACCCATTTCCTCAAGTGAGTCCAGTCTGAACCTGAAGACCTGAGGAAATGGGTGGAGACTGGTGGGCTCCTGCTTGGTTGGATGGAAAACCTGCAACCACTCTGCCCAATGAGGACCTAGTTGAATACCCCTGGTTGACTGTATACAAACAAAACAAAAGATTACAGAGAGTGAACTTACCTACCTAAATATGTGCATCTTAGTCATCTTTAAACAATACTATTAAGAGATGTGAATGATATCAGTATATACCAGTGTTCCCCGACCTTTTTAGACGTGGCACACCTTTTTCATTCGAAACAATCACATGATTGAAAATGAAAATGATACAGCAAAGTCATTCTCATTAAAGTGTATCATATCAAAAATCAAAACAAATATAAAAAAAATCTTTCTATTCCTCTCACATTATTTTCTTACACATTGTTTTGACCAATCCGGTGATATTGCATAATTTCCGAAGGCACACCAAACAACATCTCAAGGCACACTCAGGTCCCACTTCCCACTGGTTGAAAAACACTGGCATATACTGTACAACACAAACCCATCCTTCAAAAACATTCAACATAGAAGTAGAATTTGCTGGGCGCAGTTCTCGTCTCCTCACCCAGAGGGCAGTGTGGCCTCATCAGCATCTCCTCGGGACACACCCTGATACAACCTGCAACACACAAGACAGAACAGTGCAGGTTAGAAAAGTCAAATAGTGAACTGATAACGTTTAGAAATACAGAAATTCACTTATTGTCAAATGGTGATTATTATGTACTGGTCCTGGGATGTGAGTGTGGGAGGGACTCTCTGCTGCTGGTATCAGGGACAGGGCCGTGATGGAGCTGAGAATAACTGGTGTGTATACCTTGAAAGTGTGTCGAGGTAAAGTGGGTTCATGTCACACTGGTTTAGATAGTGTCTGTGCTGTCGCAATGCATTGTGGGAGAAGAATGTGGAGGAGGAAATGGGAAGAAAGAAGATGTGATGGAGTCTAAAGGTGGAAGACACATTCAGTGGATCAAGACACAAAGAAAGGAGGTGACCAAATGTGTTAGTCTCTGTGGCAGCGGAATACTAACAATTACATTCCCTTAACAATGGAGGTAATCTGTTTTCAGATACTTGCACATGCTTTTAGAACTATATGCATGGATAAAATAGATAATAAAATACAAAAATCAGAAGACATTGGTTTAAAAGAACTGTTTAAACGTCCTGTTAGACCTGTGTGCCTCTGGGGAGTGACTGTAGTGGAACAGAGTTAACTGTACAGAAAAGGCTCTTGTTGTGAAATTGGGTTTTAAGCTGGGCTTTTGACCGCTGCATTAATCACTGTTGTGTGGTGCTGTCAGCCGCTCCACGCCGGCTCAGCCTTTTCTAACACGTCCTCCACACTACACATTATATCCACAAGACATTTGTCCTAATCCCCTTTATCAGGTTCAGGGCCTTTCTGCTCAATCTAATTGCGACAAAGCCCACATAAGGGCTTTTGTGCCCAAAGAAACTTCTTTTACGCTTTCAATTAAACGACTGGGCTGGCCCAGTGAGGCCTGGCCCCATGCCAGTGTCCTTCACAAAGAATGTCAGCTACATAATAGACAGCACACTTCAGCACACTGCAGCACCCCAGCCAGTAACTGCTCACTCTGACATCCAGTTTGAGGTTTTGGAAGAAAAAGATCTGTATCATTGTAAACGTGTTTGAAATTACATTTGGTTTGAATGAATTATTTGAAGGTCGTCATGGCAATCCAACAGCTTTCCCCAAAACTGCTGTCATCCTATAGTCTTTATTTGGCTGTTTAACTTGTGTGTGCACCTCTGAGCTTTGCCGTATGCAAGTCTGCAGATAACAGATATAGCTCCCACAAACACACCTCTTTTTCAGTGTTTCCTCTGCCTGGGTCTAAATGTCAGAATTGATCTGACGGCTTTCCTGGAGCTTTACAAGTCTCCGTGGCTTCCCGTACGAGGCAGCTCTGAGCTGGGTCAATCTCCACACTCATCCGCCTTAAGAGTCAGGTGAAGACAGTAACATGCCGTGCACCTGGAAGATTTGGGGGGTAACCTAAAGACCACCTTTTTCATTTTATTTGTCTACAAACGTGTATCCAAATTACAGATGAAAGTGTTGTAATAGGCAGTCTTTAATATCAGAACTGGAAGAAACCATTCATTCAGAATCTCCCCTAGTACGAGGAGTTCGAACTCAGTGCTTGCAAATATTTAACCTCAATATTTCTTTCAGTCTCTTTCTCGTTCAAAGACAGAGAATGAGCCAGTTATTTGAGGATCAGACCAAAGCGTCTGTCAAAGCCCATTTAAACAATTGCATTTCCAAGAGTATTCTTAGCTCGGTTAAAATTAGACGTTCCCATTTCCAAGCTGTTGATGTCCAACTGCTGACAGCTCCATATCTGCAGCCTGCTTCAGCCAATCTCTAAAACACAAACCTATAAATTCTTCTGTCTGTCGGTCTCTGCTGAAGGAGATATTGTGAATAAAGCAGCCTTTTGCAACGGACTGAAGTAATCTTAGTCTGGGGGCGACCGCTTTTTAGTGTGTATGCCGGAATATGGATGTAGCCCATGTTTTGTGGGTTTGGTTTTTGTGCTTATCCAAAATCAGATACTATTAGTATATAAATATATGTATATATATATATATATATATATAGTAGACAGTATTCAGAAAATCACATTATTTTCCTTTTCAGGTCCAGGTCGGGAATGTTCTGGCCTCATTTGTCTATTTTATTTACATATAAATAGACCTCTGTGTTTTGCAACGTTATCAGTCAATTTATCCCCACTGCTGTCAAACTGTACAATAAGTCACTATAAGTCACTAATGCACTAGGACTGAAAAAAAAACCTGCACCATGGAGACACCGAACACCCTCTGACTATAACCATATGTTCACTCAAACCGGAGCACCTGGAGGAAACTACACAGCGCTAACCTGTGCTCAGACACATCAACCATAATGGGATGAATCATGACTGTGTTTGCCTGAGCTGTGGAAGAGAAATGGTCAAAATCTCAACACTCCATCATTCTGTTTGATGTTTGACTCCTCATTTACATACAATACATAACAATAACATGCAGGGATGGATTTTTACTCTGTTTCTCCTTTTGTTACCACCTATAATTTGATAAAATTATAGGTGGTAACAAGACATTTGCTTGTACTCCAAAGGCTTCTCAAGTACACGCACCATTGTTAGACAGGCGACTTAGAGACATTAGGACGAGAGTGTTAAAGGTGAAATGATAAAAAAATATACTTTGCATAATTGACAGCTCATAATACAGAAACCCCCCACACCCAGCTCCTCCGCCACTGCTCCGTCTTTGGCCTGTGAGTGAGTGAGTGAGTGTGTTTTTGGGGGGAACGCAGTCTACCCTGTGACAGTTTGGACAGCTCTGGGCCTGTTCCTCTTCTCA